CATAATGTTGTGGCTCCCAATGTGGTCTGATTTTTGTTGAAAGGGCGAAATGGCTCTTCTTAACATTTGGGTTGTTGACTCCTGACCTAACCTGGCTTACAGACTGTCCAGACGCTGCACTTCTGCACTTCCAAGTTCTGCCTTTTGCGTTCCGTCAACATTACGTTATAAATTAAAATTTAGAAAATCGATTTTTGACATTTGTGAATCGATTCAGGATCATCCACGTCCGCATCGCAGTGCATCTAAGAATCGACCCCACCCCCCACCCCTAACGTCCAACATGTTTTCTGTTTAGATTATGTTACGAGAGAAATGTATAAACAGAAAATCATATCCAACATAGGTTGTGATTTTCTATTAATACCTTTCTCTCGTGATATCATCTAAACTAGCACAGTACAGGGTTGTCTCCATCTCATCCATTCTGCTTTTCACTTTCTGCCCTAAATCTGGATTTTGCGCATCATCATGACTGCAAAAAAAGCTAGTAAAGCCTTATATTTGTTCCACTGTGTGAAAGACAGTAAACTTGGATCACTCTCTGCTGTCTGTTGTTTTTCCAGTATGTTCTTTTTGCTGCTATGTGGGAATCATTGCTACTTGTTTTCTTGCTCTCTCTCAGTATGTTCCACAGGGTTCTGAATAAATAACAAGACTTAAGACGGGAGCAAAACAAAAGCAAATGAAAGGTCTGCTGGAATGGAAGAGGTGGTGGAGGTGTGCTGATTAAATTTCATGGCTGGGCTCAGGCCTGGGTGATGGATCCAGCCCTTTCAGAGCAGAGCACCATATTATAAACTACCATACTACTGCATTGCTTTATAGAAACATACATGCAAACATTGTACACCAGGACGCTGTTAATATTGCTGTTATTTCATTTAGAGATGTTTTGTGTTATATACCTATGTAAAACACTTTGAGACTTTCTAACTCAGATGAAAAATTGTATAGAAATAAAGAACGATTTTTTATGAAGTGCTTAGTTGAGTGAATAGTTTAAGCTGTTGTAGACCAAGCAGTTTATCTCCAAACACTCCATTGCTTGTTTGGGTCACGAACCTAGGCTTAGTAAATTGCATTACTGTAACAGTTAATGCGTTTACATGCACTGAATAATCCGATAACTGCAGCAAATACCGATACTCATAAAAAGAACATTTATTTCTGTAAGGTTACAAAGGCTGTAAAATAAAGAAAAAGCAGACATTTTGGCACAGCATCACCTGAATGATGTTTTTTTTGGCATAAATACCTCATGAGATGTTGAAGTCTATATACTGATTTTTTTTAAGGCATGTTTTATTCTAAGAAAGAGAGGCCAAGAAAAAATAAAATTCAAGGAGAATTTTGAATGTGGATCCTTTCATACATTTGATCAGATGTGTTCACATTTTGACTGTTACTGTATGTGTTATATATAGATACAGATAAATGTGAGCAGTGTGTGATGTCATATCTCTCCTGTCAGACCCTCCACATGCAGGCTAATTGGTGTAATGTGTGTGTTTATCTCAGTGACCTTTTTAAACCGCTCCCAGTGTATGATTGCGAGTGTAAAGGGGCAGCTTTGCTCTTTGAATATGAGTTAAGCTCTAGTAAAAGCCCCCTAACTGGTAGTTCAGTTCAGTGCTGTGGGCTCCCATCAGTCCCCTAGCTGAAGAGAGCCATGCAGAGCTTCAATTACTGCAGCTCTTCAGGGGGTCTAGTGTAAACAACACAGCGTTTGCACTAGCACTGCCAGTGAACCATCACAGATTCAAAACGGAGAGGCATGAGTGTGTATATGTCTGTCTCGCTGAGTTGTATTAGCTGAGTAAATCATCGCTGTTTGTAGTTCTACGACTTGTCATTAAGGCTATAAGACTCATCATCCAGTGTTTGTCGACATTAGACTGTGTTGATTAATTGAAGTTTTAATAGTAGGCAGTTTACAAATAGAAGACTTAGGAAAATGTATGTACCATTGTGTGTTTTATGTGAGTGGATGTTTATGAATTTGATGATGGGTTGTATGTAATTTTCCAGTGCTTAGGTCTAATTTATTGTTTGTAATTTCCCTAAGCTTGTAGATAATTTATTGTCTGTAATTTCCCTAAGCTTGTAGATAATTTATTGTTTGTAATTCGTTACTGCTTGCTGGATGAGCTTGTTCCTGTGTGCTGTCCTCTGCTGTTTTGCAGAAATATGAGAGAGAACAGAATGAAGAGAGTGAAAGATGGATGAATAGAGTGAATACAGGGAACCTGTCTCTTTCCCTTTTGATCTCTCTCTCTCTCTCTCTCTCATCCACTCGCTCACTCGCTCTCTCGCTGTTCGTTGGACCTTGAGGGTCTTTGTGAAAGTGTGGGGGTGTGACACCTCATGAGCATCGTAAAGCTGCTCATTGTGCGCCTCAAAGCAGAAGACCCTGATGTCATATGTCGGGGAATGCTCTCTTGCTAATGGAGAGGGAAAGTGAAGAAGAGAGAAGGATGGAAGGATAGGGAAAAAAGAGAAGTACATAGAGTGAAAATTTGTTTCGTGTTGAAAGCTCACTCAACATAAAGTGAAAGGTGTGACATTAGCACAGAGCTTATTGACCTAACATCAAACACTAGCAAGTGTTTTCTACATACATATATATATATATATGTATATATATATTATATATATATGTATATATATATGTATATATATATATATATATATGTATGTATTAGGGGTGGGAATCTTTAAGCACCTCACGATTCGATTACGATTCAGAGGGCTGCGATGCGATTATAAAACGATTATCGATGCATCTCGATGCATCTTTTTTCTCTATACAGGATTTCTATCTTCCTACTGTCTGAGGACTTGCTAGTTTTAAAGCAAAGTATTTGTAATGATCCATAATGTAAATGCATTATGGATCAATACAAATACTTTGCTTTAAATATCTAAAATATCTTTTATTAATAAATCAAATGGAAGTGATGTGGCAAGTGAACTAGAAGGCTCTCATTCAGAGACGCTGCTGCCACTCATCTGCGATAAAATGCGCTGTTACCCTGAAATAAGATTCAGTGGTAATGGGTGTCCACGCAGCGCGTTTCAGCCGTCCTTCCCGTTTTCTTTAGCGATCTTATAACTTCGGTTTTGGTCTCGTTGTAGAGACGGGGGGGCGAGTATTTTCGAGACTGGACGCTGAATCTCGGCTCCAAAGTGTGCAGCATAGCGCGAAAGCCCTGGTTCTGAACGACCGAGAACAGTGAGCAGACAGCAGGTCACACAGCACCGAGGTCTGGCCTAGCCAGTAGCGAACAAAAAAAAATCTGCAACGAGAGTTTAAAAAAAGTTGCGAAAATGAACTCGCTTCTCTTTCGAATTTTCCCGTTCCACCTTAAATGGTGCAGCAGTTACATTCGGCGCCTAAGACAGAATTTAAGGTGAATATTAGAACGAGAAGCTGGCGAATGAGAAGCGACTTCAGCCTCGTAAAACAGCCGGATGCTGAGACATTTTACAAGAAACTCTTCTAGTTTTGAAGAAAAGTTTTCTGGTGGAGATGTGAGGAAAGCGGCTAAAGCTTAAAGTAGAGCAAAGTAAATCTGCGCTCTCGTTTATATTTTTAGCCTACGACATTAACACATACTGGACATCAAATGTTGTGGCTCCAAAGGTGGTTTGACTTTGTTGAAAGGCAGAATGTCTCTTCTTATCATTTGTGTTGTGACTCCTGATCTAACCTGGCTTTAATGCAGAGGCTGTCGGTCGGATTTCTCGCTCATCCAGTTGTGTTTTTGTTATGTGCCGCCACAGACTGTCCGGGCGCTGCACTTCCACACTTCCAGTTCTGCCTTTTGCGTTCCGTCAACATTACGTTATAAATTAAATATTTAGAAAATCGATTTTTGACACTTGTGAATCGATTCAGAATCGTTCATGTCCGCATTGCGATGCATCTAAGAATCGAGTTTTTCCCGCACCCCTAATATGTGTGTGTGTGTGTGTGTGTGTGTGTGTGTGTGTGTGTGTGTGTGTGTATATATAAAACATCACAGAGCAGGTACTATTTGGGTGCTGGATCATTCTCAGCACTGCAGTAGCACTGATGTGGTGGTGTGTTAGTGTGTGTTGTGCTGGTACGAGTGGAACAGACACAGCAGTGCTGCTGGACTTTTTAAACACTGTGTCCACTCACTGTCCACTCTATTAGACACTCCTACCTTGTCAGTCCACCGTGTAGATGTAAAGCCTAAGATGATAGCTCATCTGCTGCTGCACAGTTTGTGTTGGTCATCCTCTAGTCCTTCATCAGTGGTCACAGGACGCTGCCCACAGGATGCTGTTGGCTGGATATTTCTGGTTGGTGGTCTATTCTCAGTCCAGCAGTGACACTGAGGTGTTTAAAAACTCCAGCGGCACTGCTGTGTCTGACCACTTGTACCAGCGCTACACACACTAACACACCACCGCCACGTCAGTGTTACTGCATATAAATATAGATATATGTGTGTGTGTGTGTGTGTGTGTGTGTGTGTGTGTGTGTGTGTGTGTGTGTGTGTGTGTGTATGTTTTCATGGGTTAGTAATTCAGTGCATGGAGGAGTTTTTGAGCTGTGCATGTGTGTGTATCATGGCTGTGTTTTATGTGTGTTATAATTGGCTGTTTAGCCAAATGCTAAGGTTACTTGTCTCCAGGTGGGAGAGCAGGGATCAGTCACTGGAACAGAGAGGTATTCAGTAGGCTTATGATGTGATCTATTGTCATCGCAGCTCTTAATGTTGTGTTTGTCACTGAAACTCTGTGATGATGATAGAAAATACAATTTATCCTGCAGCCCCAATTTTCACATTTTTGCATTGCGATTTCACTGTATATAGTTAAAACCCCTCTAATTTACATATTTATCCTACAGATTATTATGTGGAACTTTGTAATAGTGATTTCTTTTCTGTGTGTGGACTACGCACAGTGTATTCAGTACCTTCTGTGATAGTCATTGATTTATCTTGCTCTCTCTCGCCCCTCAGCTATCTATAACTATGATCCACGCAGTGACGAGGAGCTGTCACTGCAGATTGGAGACACAGTACATATACTGGAGACCTATGAAGGTGAGTTTTACGTACACACAAACACACACACACACACACACACTTGCATTGTCTCTCTCTTTTTTCTGCTTTCCCTAAACACCTTTGCTGTCTCTCTTGCTCACACTGTTTGTCTTGTATGTGTCTCTCTCTCTTTCTGTTCCTCTCTCTGTCTCACTCACGAACGATGATGGGTTTGATCGAGTCTGACACCGGTGGTTTTCTGGGAAAATGGAGCATTATTACTTTGTCATTGACAGCAGTGCCTTTACTCTGCACTAGCAGGTGTAATTGGAGTCAGCCATATCCCACAAGTAGCTGTTTCTGCCCGGCTCTTCTCATTCCTTTCAACAGCTTTCTCCATTTTGAATGGTTTATACTCCTACATTGCCTTTGCAAATATTATGTTTTTTGTCAGAAAGAATTTTCCCATCCAGTGTCTCTCCCATTGTCATGTTTGAATATGACTGCCTCCAAGCATATTGTCTAGGGTTTGTTAAAGTTGTTAGTATGAGATTCTGAATGGTTTATTCAGAATCTCAGAGATCATGTCAAGGGGTGATTTATGAAACATATCTTCTGACTACAAGTTGTCGGTTCTCTCCAGAAATGAATATTTGTGTACAGGTGCATAATTTCATTGTAATCATTGTTGCTTACAGTATTAGTAATGTATTACACCCTCCTTTTCTTGCAGGTTGGTATAGGGGAAACAGGTTGAGGAGAAAGTCAAAGAAGGTGAGTTGATTTATGAGGAGGTCAAGGCTCAGAACAAATTCATATGCCAGAGATGGAATTTAATACCCTAAGAAAAATGAAAATCTAAAAAGATGAATTGTTGGTGTGGGCAAGGAATGAAGTTTGCAGTGAAGTAGTACAGTGTTACCTCTAGATGTTGAGAGGCGTTTATTGTTAATTAGAAATGTGATTTTAATCAGTGCCTGTTTTTAATATTTTATTTTTCATTTGTCTGTATGCTGTTCTTTGATAATGGCACAGCTAAAGCACAAACATGTTTTTGCTTGCAGGGTATATTTCCAGCCTGCTACATACATCTAAAAGAGGCCACAGTTGAAGGCAGTGGGTGAGTGATGCTAGTTTTTCCCAACCTTAATAAAAAGTTACCTTGATTTTATATTTATAACCTCAAACTACAGCTACTGGGTTCTTCTACTGCTGTCTGCAGGTTTCACAGCAGAAAGGTCAGTGAAATAGGCTGATATTCAGACTTGCTAATTTCAGCATGTGCTGTATGGAACATCCTACAGGTCCAAGGATGTTCCATATGGCTTTGCTGTCAGTGTTGTGTCCCTGAAGTGAGTGCATTATGAATACTTCAGTGATAGGAATGCAGGTTTCACTAAAATCATTGGCAGCAAAGCAAGCCTACTCATAAAGGGAAGGGAGTACATTTTTAAAACAGGTTTGCCTGAGATATGCATACCAATATTTTAAAGCGTCTATATAACTAAATTTATCTTGCTTTTTTGAGTTAAGTATTTGATATGTCTATAGGTAAGGTTTGAAAACGTGTCATTCATTTCTTAGTCCATATATGGAAGAACAGCGTGTTTTTAAATTCACTGTGTTTGTGCTTTCGCAAGCTTGAACACATTTATATATAACCACTCATTCAACCTGCAGCTGCTTAGCTCACACATTCACGCTAAAGTGTTAAGAATGCCTGCAGTAGCAACCAGTCTTTAGCAGTTATTGGAACAGAAGATAAGGGGAAACAGTTAAATGTGCTCTTGCTAGCTGAAGCAAATGGATCACTTCAGCTTTCCAAAGGATCCAGACATCTGAGAGAAGAGGGTGAAGTTTATTTTTTCCTGAGTTTATGATTTTATTTCTGTCCCTAAGGATACCAGCCCAGACTTAACAGCTTCCTCAGTAGCTTTCAGACTAGTCTACTTTTTGGAAAGGCAAAACACAGGGTAGCCAATTAGAACAGAGTTGGAAAACGGTAATGTGAGTGAGTATTTTTTTTAGATAAATAAAACCACACAAGTGTTATGAATGGGGAAAAAAATGCTAGGAAAATATCGAACATGGCTCCTTTTAAAGCATTACGTTTAAAGATCCTATAGTTATCAGAGTTTTCAGACTCTAATCCTGGAGGTTGCAGAGCACTAGATCCCAAAGACTGGAGATGAAAGCCCTCGTTCTATGCAAGTATGCAAGATGGTGTTTCTGAACGGTGCCATAAATAAGGCTTTACAGAGCTCTCTCCCTGGGTTCCTATCACTCTTATCAGTATCATACTTTAGCTCTCAAACAGCAAGACTGATTTCAGCAGAGCTCTGCCCTTAAGAGAACTCAGAATAACCCACTTCCACATCATCTCCCTGATATGTGAATGGAGGGGAGGAAGATTTTTTGGTGAGAAACAGCTTTTGGAGATCTGGGCTTTGATTTGAGTGGAGTTGCAGTGGGGGAATAGAGCGAGTTAGATCTCGCTGTGGGAGTAATCAGAGCGCTGATTGAGAGCAGGTTTCAGAACAGCCGTCCTCGAAAGTGGCAGCGGCGTTGAACATTCATCTGAAATGACGATCTGAATGTGGCGCAGAGAGAAGGTCAGGATTAGCAATGGAGAGTGCAGGATTCTTATTCAAGGAAGATTTAGGGATGTAAGCTGAGTGAAGAGGCATTTCTTATAAAAGGACCAAGAGTTATATAAAGCAAAAGCACATTATTGTGATATTTCTGTGTCTAGACTTGTTACGGATGGATGTTCCTGCATGCCTAAATGGGTGCGTAAGTCCTGTGTGTGCAGGAATGCTAGAGGCAGACAAAAAGTTGTTGGTTGTGCAGAGTAATAAATATGTAATTACAATGTAACTTAGCTATAACGTGTGTGTATGTGTTTCTAGAAGAAGAAAGAAACATTCTTAACCTTTAAATGGAAATAACAAACAATTATATTTTAACTAGATCATCAAATATTTCACTAGACAAAGGGCAACTGTTTTTTTTATTGATTTTTTTTAACCTTTGTTTTCAGATTATCTGAAAAGAATAAAAAATAACAGAAATGGCGATACAGCGGTTTGTGTTGATGACGACAAGAAGTTATTGAGAAGTTTTAGGCACCCGGAAATTTAGTATTACGCTGTTTATGTCGGCAGGAAGTGTTTAGCTGCTGAGGAAAAAAAACACTAATATTAGACTAAATACAAATAACATCATTAATTAAGCAAGTAGTGATTTTCAACCCTTTCCAGACCTGTCCTTGTGGCAGCCCAGTATTATGCATCCAGTTATCATTCAATACTTAGTTTCACTCATCAGTACTTGTTTCACTAATCACAGTAGTGTTAAATCACTGCAAACTACTTTTTTGAAAAATAGGAAGTTGTTTTTGCTTTACTATATTTGTTTATTTGCATGTATTCCAATGGTATGTTGTGTTTTTACAAGTGAAAACACGCTTATTGCCAGAATAAGTGGTTTTAAATAATGTGGTTTGGTGCCAAAGACAATATACACACCATAATTTTATATCACATGTAGCCTAATAGTGTAATATAAAACATGACCAAATGTAATGTTTTGCTTTTCCTTTCTCTGACTCTCGCCTTTTAGGCCCAAGGAGACAGTCATTCCCACAGAGTTGCCTTTAGTGCATGAGGTCACCACCACTTTGCGGGAATGGGCTTCGATATGGAGGGATCTGTATGTGGTGAGTAATGATCTTTAAGTCGTCAGTGTGATTTAAAATGCAGCATTTGCCTTTGCCTACTGTAACGAGTGACTGTAGCATCATGAATGTGTTTTTTCAAAACATGTCTTGGAATGTCCCCGTCTCGTGGACCTAGGCCTGTCACAATTATTACATAATTGCCTAATCACAGTTATTTTAGATGATCACAATCATTTAAGACAGTTATGTAAGCTGACTGTGGTCATTTTCCACACACGTTAGATTTCACAGTCATGTTACAACAAACAAAATGTGAACTGAGTGTGTTGGTTTGAAGCAAATTAATGTAAATAAAAGAAAGCAGTAAACACACTCTTTGACATCATGGGGCTCATGCAAACAAAAGTTCTAACTTCTAACATGCTGCTTTAATGTTTGGAAGACAGTATTTTTGTTTGATGGTTATGTAGTTATGTAGTTAATTCTTTTAGCATGTATGCTGGTAGAGGGAATGCTTGCTCATATTTACGCACTAAATAAGAACATGAAACTTTGCTTACCTCTACACCTAATTCTGTAGACGTTTATGTGAGTGTTCGCACAACAAGTGTGCTGTATTGATTTGACAGTACAATCGGTGTTAGCTACTAAGTAAACATAGCAAGCAAGTAAGGTAGCTAATCAGCCAGTTTGGCCACTTGAGACTTGTTATAATAGCTTCAAACAATGAACAAGAAAAGACAGTTAAATTAGTTAATCACAATTATTTAGATGACAGTTAATCATAAGCTAAAATTTCATGAGTGTGGCAGCCCCACATGGACCGTGATGATATCACGTACTAGTCCCTCCCATTCTGGAATACAAAATGTATTGAATATATCTCGAACAAACCAGTTACATGAAAGGTTTTTGTTCTGTGAATGGAGATTATTCTACTATCATTGTTCACTTTAGTGTTTATACAGAGTCTCTGTAAAATCTGAAGTGTTTGTCCAACCATCGCCACCATAGTTCACTCGTTTGTTGTACGAAGCTAAGTTACTGTCTTGACGTATTAAAGTTCAGTCATGTAGTGAATGTTGACAGCTTAATTAGCCCTCATTGCACTGTATGCACAGACTAAACAGCCTGTGTGTGTTTTTCACAGGGTGACAAGCGTGAGATGTTTAATACTGTTCGTGACATGCTCTATGATCTCATCGAGTGGCGGTCTCAGATTCTGTCAGGAACTCTTCCACAGGACGAACTCTCGGAGCTCAAGCAGAAAGTCACCTCCAAAATCGACTATGGAAACAAGTATGTGCTTCTGCCTCTTTATTCCTGAACAGACTGACCATGTGGTGCCATTTTTTGTTTTGATTCAGTACAGAGGCAGGCAGTGTGATGGTCTGCTATGTGTATTATTTAGGGGTGCATATATATATGACGATATTTTCCATGTACATATCTGCCGATGTTGATACATAAACATTTATGAAATGTATAAATTAGCACTAGCTCATCCAGGGTTAGCCTTACAGAAACAAAATTAATATTTATTTGTAGAGGGCTACAAATGCAGCAAAATAAAATGCTGATATTTTTGCACAGCTACCCAGTGTTGCCTCAACATTCTGCTGTTCTGGAATACATTATGTTATAGAATACTGGTTTGAAATACCAGTCAACATCTGTCTAATGCTGCTGTTGATTTTTTTTTTTTTAAGAAAATATCTGCCGATATCAATATGATTCCGATATTTAATATTATGCGTTATGTTTTTACCATATTTTTTCGTATTCACTTTTCAAGTTGCTCCATCTCCGTTTTTCCATGCCAAAACTTCTGAACAATATAAGGTGGTGAAGGGAAGGTAGCACAAACCTTTGATGTATATGCTTCTTCTTCAATACGCTCAGAGGAGAACACTGTTCACTGAGCTGTAATGGAGATGTGGGCCACTTTATAATCAGTGTGAAAAGGCCCTCACAGATGGCTTATAGTGGTAGTTTACTCTATAATAATGGTAGAGATTTCACCTTGAAAATCTAGCACCCATGAGAGGGCAGGTCACCACAGAGCAGTTTAAAAGCATTTGTTGGCTTTATTTTTCATAGCCATGATGTTACAGTCTGGCTTATGGCTATACCATGACAGAAATGAATGTAGGTTCTCCTTAAGCTTCCATGCTCATTCCTGAAGCTGTAATTATTGTTCTGAGCTAATTTTTTGTCCTTTAAACAATAAATATTATTTGGATCAAAATAACATTTCAGTGAGGAAGCTATTCATGCTTTCAGGAGCTTGAGTTTACGTGTTGCACTTTTTGCGATCACTGCTGTCGTAGTGTTGGCCTTAATTGCTTTTATATCATTTTTTTTTTTACTTGTCTGTGTACTATATAAATCCTCCTTTTCTGTTCTGGTTTGTTCTCCCTCTTGATCCCTGTCCTGTCCTGCATTTTGGTGTTCAGGGTTCTAGATCTTGACCTGGTGGTGAGGGATAAAGATGGGAACATTTTGGATCCAGACCTTACCAGCACCATCAGCTTGTTTAGAGCGCATGAGGCCGCATCCAGACAGATCGAAGAACGCATCCAAGAGGAGAAGGTTAAACAAAAACAAACACACCAATATGCAATAAAGCACACAACTTACGTGCTGAAGCTAATATTTCTGCTCTCATAAGCATATGTAGCAGAACTAGGAAGCTGGTGACATGGCAGGCTTTCTAGTGTATGACCACATAATAACTGCAGAGCTACTTCGAGTCAGTGTTTCTAACATAGAAGCACACGGCATCAAAAGGCTAATTTCAGCTGCGGTGTCTTGGCCCTAATCCTAATAGGCACATTAGTTTTATTAGCTTGATATTTACTCCTTTACGCTGGAAACAGCGCAGCCCCCTTTGGCTGAGAGTTGTCCAGTTATCATTTTTTCAGTTGACAAGTGCTTCATCAGGTATCAGGTATCAGTCACAGTTTTAGTGCATGTGTGAGCTTAAAATAAATGCCTAATGTTGGCCAACTGAGACTTTTGAAATTTATGTTGGAACCATCTGAAGATGGCTAGTTTTGGGATTGTTGAAAAAAATATGCAGGCTAAAAAGCTACCTTGCTAGTTTCAATATCATTGAGGCACATAATACATCACCTAATGGCTGTACTGATTAGAAGTTTAGCAACACGTTACCACCAGAATGCAAAAGGTACTGCAGTGTGAGACATTGTTTGGTGCTCGTTAGCCCCACAAGACAAGCCCGTGAAGGGATTTTGTCTGAGTTTTCCCTGCGATTAAACATATACACAGAGAGAGATGCTCTGAGAGCAGTTTCAGCCTGTCAAACCATCTTTAGCTTCTCTTCTCACACACACTCACACTTTTACTCTTGCTTTCTCTTCTTCCTTCTTGCTGTCTCTTGCAAACATTCTCTCACTTCTTTTTCCCACTTTTTTTTTTTCTTCTGTTTCTCAGCACGCTCCAGCTGCACAGATGGGGGGGCTAATCTGAGAAGCAGGGAGCACAAATAGATGTGCTTGCGTTATCTCAGATGTTCTTTCAGTGGTTGACTGTAGCTATTTCCATACGTTCTATGCAAACAGTGTGAACGACACAGCAGCTCTGACTGTGGAGGCTTTTCTAACTTTCATACACACATGGCATGTCATTTTCTGCAGTGTTTACATTAAAATATTAGCAAAACATCAGTGTTGTTTTGAACAACTTGGCATCTAGCTTTAATCCCCTGTTGCCCTCAGGCTTTTTTGTTTAGTTTTTGTAACTAACATCAATGTGTTGTTTTTTAGAGTTATAATTACTGCATGTGTGTGTGTCTGTGTGTGTGTCTGTGTGTGTGTCTGTGTGTGTGTCTGTGTGTGTGTCTGTGTGTGTCTGTGTGTGTCTGTGTCTGTGTGTGTATTTGCCCAAGTGTGCTGTATTGCAAGTTATATTGTAAGTTATAAATGCACATTTTTACAATCACATTTAAATGCATTGTAATTCCCTGCTTCCATTCATTAATTATAATTATGTTTGTTATAATCACTTGTCCAGTGTAGGCTGTTCATATAAAATTAAAAATATCAAATGGCCTGTGAATCATTTTAGTGGCTCTTATAGTCTGCCAGTACCCTTAAAGTCACTGTCTTGATGTCGACCTGATCTCATACAACTGTCATATCAGTTACTGCAAAACGTGATGTTTAGACTTTGAATGAAACATTGAAAGCTTTTGTTTCTTTCTTTAGAGTAACACCTTGTACTTTAGCAGAGAAAATTGTGAGAGATGCTGAATTAGAAGCATTTTCCCAGCAGATCACAATGGAAGCATAGATCTTGATATTAATTTGTTAATTGTGGATGTTTTTCTTTCTTCATCTTTCCCTTCTAGTCGCAGAAGCAGAACCTGGATCTGAGCAGACAGGCCAAGTTTGCCTCCACGCCATCTTTTGCTCTTTTTGTGACACTGAAGAATGTAGTGTGTAAGATTGGGGAGGATGCTGAGGTGCTCATGTCTCTCTACGACCCGATTGAATCGAAGTTTATCAGGTGCTCCATCCAGACACTTGAAGACACGTACACATTCGTACATGCATGTGTACAAACCTCAATTCTAGACAAAAGTGAGACAGTATGTGAAATGCAAATAAAACTTGAAATCAGAAATTTGTAAATCCACTTCGACTTGTATTACAGTGAAAACAGAACAAAATCATTTAATGTTTTACCTTGTCAGCTTCGTTGTTTTTGTAAATATAGGTCAGTCTGAAATTGATGCCTGCTACATGTTCCAAAAAACTTGGGCCGGGGCGATTTAAGACTAAGGATATTGTGTTAAAGGTTAATGTTCAAATTTTAAAGATGGTCAAAAACAGGTGATACAATGAGGTTAGGGTGTAAACAACCTACCAGGAAAGGCCTCGTCCTTTTTAAGCAAAGAAGGGTCGAGACCTGCCACTTTGTCAAAAACTGAGTTAGTGAATAATCCAGCAGTTGAAGACCAATGCTCCTCAACAAGCAACTATAAGAATTTTAGTAACTGACCCACTGCTGCACTAAATTCCATCATAGGAGTGTAGGGGTGTGCAATATGACGAATTTTTTTTTTTGTTATCTTGATACACCCTATGCACTTCTGAGCATATTGTGAATATTGTCAACACTTGAAAACTAACCTACTTCAAGCTTCATTACAAATAGAGCATGATTACCCCTGTTTAATTGGGTTTAGTGGAGAGCAGTATGTGAAATGTTGAATTATAAATATTGTATTCATAGTTGTTAGCAACTTTTAAGTATTTTGTCTGTGCATCAAAATATTGTGATACACATTGTGTATCGTGAACATTTCTTTATGTGTTGTGATATATTGTTTTTTCCATATTGTCCACCCCTACCTGCATGCTTCTCTGATGGATATCAGCACGTGGGCTTGGGGAATACTTTGAATCATTGTCAGTTAGTTACGACTGTATGCAGAATGGAAACCATATATCTGCAACTTCCAGAAGTGTTGCCAACTTGTCTTGGCTTGGGTTTATCTGAAATGGACAGATGCACAGTGGACTTGTGTATTGTGGCATGACAAGTCAGTGTTTCAGATTAGTTATAGAAATAATGGACTTCACTGGGCCAAAAAAGAAATAGACCGTCCAGATTGTTACCAGTGTAAAGTTCAGAAGCTGCGGTCTATTATGTGTATTAGTGCCCATAGCATGGGTAGCTTGCACATCTGTGAAGCCGTCATTAATGCGTCATTAAAGATATAAACATATTTTGAGGTGATGTATGCTGCTGTCTAGACTGTGTCTATTTTGGGGATGTCCATACAGACTGTGGCATGATAACGCAAAGCCACATTCTGCATGTGTTAAAACAATATGGCTATGTAATCAAAGAATTCGGGGGCATGCGGTCCAGAGCTGTCTCCCATTGCAAATGTGTGGCACATTACAAAGTGCAAAATGCAGTGTAGGCCCTGTTTGCTTGTGCCCTGTTTTTGTTCATACACACAAACAAGCATGCCCCAAACCCAGAGTACACACACACAGCAAAACACAGAGCATGCATTAAAACAACCCCTTCCCTCTCAGAATAGAGCGCCCACACGTACACACAACCCAAAACACAGCATATGCATGAATACAAACAGACCAAAACACAACGCTGTGGGCACATACACACAAAGAGATCAATACAGTGTGAAACTCCTAATACACACACACACACCCACCCACTCTACTGTTCTGGAATTTTCTATTGTCCCAGGATTAAAGCCTTTAAACAGTAAACTGCCCAAAACAACAAGCTGGCCTTTAGTAAGAAGTGTCTCTGGCCAGATGGCTGATTTTCAACCTGGAGCTCTGTGAATCAGTTTAGTGGATACCTATGTCATAATAATTGCAAAGGCAATTTATGACAAATTTATGACAAATTACTTGTTACCTGTAATTCTCATGGTGTTTTTTCCTTTTATTATTTGTATTTCTTTCTCACTCCCCCATCCATTGTCTTTCTGTTCCCTCACCTGCAGTGAAAACTATCTGGTCCGGTGGTCCAGCTCAGGCCTGGTCAAGGACATCGATCAGCTTCACAATCTGAGAGCCGTATTCACAGTGCGTATCCTCGCATTCTTTGTTGCAGTCCTTATTTATTTCAAATAGACACCCCGCATTCATTTATCCAAATCCTTCTTTATGACACCAAATATTTAGGGTCTTTATTTTGTTCATTGTTGCAGTTTACGGTGATTTCTCTAGTCATGTTAACATTTAGTGATTCAGCTAAGTGTGATATTTTTGCGATCTAAAGCAGTGTGCTGCCCCGGCTGAGTAATTACAGTCTTATAAAGTGACAATTTAATTTGTGTTCCTCTGTTGTTTTGTATACATAATTATTGCAGTATAGTCGCACAGTAATTATGCCTTAATGAAGGGACTGTAGGAAACAGTACACCAAAAGAGAGTGCACTTCACCTTACAGTCCATTTTTAGAGTTGGTAACAGCCTCTGTTGATGGTTACCCTCACACTCTGTAAGGGGTGACTAGGGGACCTTTCTGACTTCTCCCTCTCTTAACAGTAACAGAACACTGACTTGGCACTGTTGATACAAAGGTCAACATATTTAGTTTGTGTGAAAATACTTCATGAGATGAAAACAATTCCATTGTCATCTGCAAGCTGTGGAAGACTGTCCTGAAATATAGTCTTACAAACCAGACTTTTCACTATCGCGAGAGGATCTGGTGGGTTTTGTCACTCAGTGTGGCCGAGTACTGCCTACTTTAAGGGCGCATTGACTGACATACACAATGACTAACCACAGGTGGTTGTTTTTGCATGATGTATAGAGGCATTAAATTAAAACTGCTACAACAAAAATAGACTCACAGTGAGTCTGTTTCAGTGGCTTAAATTATAACCTTTAATTATAATCCTGTCTAATTTTACATAACTTTATTGGTGTGAAATACCATACACTGCACAGACTTGTTTTTCAATCTAGTTAAAATATCTTGCAGCAAAAGGCTTATTGTTGTGCTGAGCAGGTGACTACTTGCTGCTGGGACTAGTTAGCATTTAGCTTGATAAGCCACAGTTTTTTTTTGCTGATGGATTAAATGCATAACCATCTCAAAATGAAGCATCTGCCTCTAGCTGGTAGCAAGATACTGACAAAATACCTTTCTCTGATGTCTGGAAGACTCTCATTGCGATAATTAATAAACTAGTAAAAATGAAATTGTGCAACCCCTAGTGCAGTGAAGGAAAACAAATATTTAGACAGGTTTTTACTATTTAATGTACTTTGAGTGCAGATATCCACTTCAGATTTACACACATAATTTAACTTTGTGAACAAAACATGTGAAAGGCTTTGTTGCAAAGCCATTGTTAGCAGTTAGTTTTGTGACATCTGCAGTAAGAAGTAAGCCATATTTGGTAACAGTGATTCCTACTGCTGTCAGGTCGTCCTGCAAATTTTTAGTTAATTTAATTAGTCCGAGAGAAATCTTGCATGCTGCCCTGTCATGGGACAGCGGTTTTAGTTCTAAGGTGTTATCTAGTGTATTATGACACCAGTTGTACCATTTGGGATGTTTAAAAAATTTTGCTAGGGCCCTGTAGCTTTTTTCATTTTAGTGTTATTTCATGATGATGTCCCTGTGAACTTGAGGAAGCTCCTTCACCATGGTTGCTGACCTTCCCAGAAAATAGCAGTGTCTTTGATAATGAAGGACAAGTGCATTTTACTTTTCTATTTTTACAGCATTCATATGTAGAACTTGATTTATTTTTATTTTAACCTTTAAATATAATGTTTAGATTTTTTTTAACTTATTTTTTAAATATTTTTTTAAACATTTATTCTTGTGAATCCATACGTTGGTCATATAAGTACAAAGTCAAAAGTCATTCTGTGTGTAAATTTGAAGTGTATATATAAATACACTGGAAAGTATGTTAAATAACAAAAACAAAAATCTGAATACTTGTTTCAGTTCATTGTATGTGTGTGCTTTGTGGCAGATGTTTCCCTCCTTCAGCTCTTTGCACCATCCCACAGTCCTCCCCAGAAAATGAGGCGGTCTGCCAAATCAGACCCCATTATGAACAATTTACCCTACATAGGGCCTGCTTAGTTGAAGTTTACTCATGCTGGAAAAGATCCAATCAATGGATCAATTGTTCCACTCCTCAGCAGACAAGGACTAACAAAGTGTGTAAGCTTAACCAAACACTCCATCATAGTGGAACTGTTACTCTAATCTTTTCTTCTAAGTATCCAGGAATTTTTTATTTATGTGTATGTATATATATATATATATATATATATACACACATACATTATATCTTAATTATGATAAAATAAAGTTTAATATGGCGGTTGCAAGACAGTATGTGCTGTGTATTGAATTGTTAGATTGCATGCTATAAATGATGATTGTGATATCAGACAAATTTCTACTGTTCTTTTTAAAAATTGTATTCAAATTCATTTTCTTTTATTTATTTAAATCATTCTTTTGTGTTTCTTATGCTTTGACCAGGTATTGCTGCCTTGTTTTCGTCACTGGACTTTGACTATAAAATATGAGCAAATATATTTTTAGATAAAAAATGTATTGTGGTACAAAAAAGTGAGAATGTCTGTATTGTTACATTCCTAGTATCTGTTCAGCTCTCTTTCATTTTCTTGCTTAGATCTTGCGCATCTATATACACACGTGATTTGTGTAGGTTATTGCTGTAATGATGTGTTTGTGCTTGTCTGGTTGCTCTGTAGGACCTTGGCAGCGAAGACCTTAAGAGGGAGAAAATCAGTTTTGTCTGTCAGATTGTCCGGGTGGGGCGCATGGAACTGCGGGACAATAACACTAAAAAGCTGACATCCGGACTTCGACGGCCCTTTGGAGTGGCAGGTAAATTTATTGTTTATAGACCCAACCTGAACCAGTTTAACCACTCAGCCACAGAGGGTCAGTTAAATATCTGATTCAAACAATTAAAATATTGGTTAACAAGTGATATTGCCTGATCAGTTGAGCATAATGTGGTCTTGAATAGGGTGAAAAAGTTGGGACTACATCTGCCTTTCATGAATAAGATATGAGGGCTGTGCTGTTGTTGCTTTATTAGGTGATTTTTGTTGAATTGTTTAGTGATGTGAGTATTGGAAAACATATGGCCCTTGTAAGCCTGGCTTTTCCAAATTAAGAGATTTATAATACGGCAAAGACAAATAAGATTGCTTAAATCTGATTGAAAGCATTCTAAAAGAGTGTTGACGAGAAAACAAGAGAGCAGTGAAGAAAGACCCCTGTCTCAAGGCTTCTCGCCTGACTGCATAAATAGATTTAGCTGATAATCAGAGGTTTTGAGAGTAGAATGAGGAATTAGAATGAGGAATTAGTGAGTGATTCGTCCCTGGTGGCAGAGATGCTGGCTCCATAGTAAACTAATTAGATTGGCTCTCAGCCCACTGCTCATCACCAGGGAAATTCAACCCTTGATTCTTTGTCCTGTAAGAGGTGACGGGAGATGTTCATCTTGGAGAGCTCATCGTCACAAATGTGATTGTTTTTTTTCCCTACGTATCGAATTTGTTATGCTTGCATGGTGTACTCATAGCTGTTGTATGCTGTGTCCCCCAACAGAGACTCAAATTGCACTTTGGATGCATATTATAAATATAATAAGTTGTCATGACGACCTTGATGCTTTGACATCGCCTGTTGTTTATTTCCCAGTGTGTGGGTATAGAGCAAGATGTATGTAAACCCTTGTGAAGGACAATGGGGAGAATGTGCCAGTATCAGTTTCAACATCAAACGTATGTTTGAAGTGGGAAGGAGAAGTGCCTCTCTTGTCTTTTTCCCCCCACTTTAACCACTGCAGAGACTTGTAGGTTCGTCAGAGAGGTTGTGTGGAGTTGCACCTGAGTGATGGTGCTTTCATCAGCACCCTGCTACCTTCATTTTGGCTCATGTGCCTGATTGGAGAGCCATGTCCTCAGCTTGTAATATCAAATGCTACAGAACCAAAATGGCTGCATTTATATATATCTATATATATATATATCTATATATATATCTATATCTATCTATCTATCTATCTATCTATCTCTATATATATATATATATATATATATATGTATGTATGTATGTATGTATATGTAAGATAATTTCTCTGGACAGAATTACTTAAAGCAAGTAAAAATTCACATATTTAAATATATTAAATATATATTTTAAATATATATCAAATATATTTAATAGTATTATAACATTCTTACAGTCTTCTCATACTGATAGTGATAAGTAGTAGATTTATTGACTGCACTTCCTTTCATATGCTCATAAATGCTCTCTCTCTCTCTCTCTCTCTCTCTGTATGTATATATATATATATATATATATATATATATATATATATATATATATATATATATATATATATATATATATATATACACCCACATATATATATATATATATATATAAACGTTCTACAATAGGCACGTGAATTGGTAACAGGTAAGGGTATCATGATTGGGTAAAAAGAGCATCCACCAAAGGCTCAGTCATGCAAGCAAAGATGGGTTGTGGCTCACCGCTTTGTGCCAGATTTCATGAGTGAGTTGTCAGAAAGTTCAGAAAGAACGCAAGATTACAAAGAATTTAGGTTTTTCACCATCTACTGTACATAATATTGTGAAAAGATTCAGGGAGTCCGGAGTAATCTCAGTCCATCTAAGGCACGGCTGGAAACCATTGTTGAATGTGCATGACCTCAGATGGTATTGCATGAGAAATCGTCATGCTATTGTGTTAAATATACACGTGGACTACTTCGGAAAACTGTTGTCACTTAACACAGTCTGCCGCTCCATCAACAAATGCAACTTGACACTGTATTATGCAAGCAGAAAGCCATACGTTGGTTCTATGCAGTAATGTCGTTGAGTTCTGGTCTGAAAGTCAGTGGAAATGTGTGCTATGGTCAGATGAGTCCATGTTTCAGTTTGTTTTTGGGAAACATGGATGTCAAGTTCTCCTTGCCAAATACGAAAGGGACTTTTATCAGTGAAAGGTGCAAATGCCAACATCTGTCATGGTATGGCAGTACCTCAGTGCCCACGTCATGGGTGACTTGCGTATGTGTGAAGGTACCATTGATGTGGAGCCGTAAATTGGGAATTTAGAAAGACATATGATTCCATCAACATGACAGCTTGTTCTGGGAATTCTATGGTTATTTTAGCAAGACAGTGCCAGGCCTCATTCTGCATGAGCTACAACAGTGTGGTATCATAGACAGAGTGTGTGTGCTTGACTGGCCTGCCTGCAGTCCAGAGCTGTCTCCTGTTGAAAATGTATGGTGCATCATGAAGAGGAGAATCAGACAATGACGACCACGGACTGTTGAGCAGCTGAAGTCTTGTGTCAAGCAAGACTGAGCAAAAATTCCACTTGCACAACCGCGACAGTTAGTATCTGCAGTTTCCAAATGATTAAAAAGTGTCATTAATAGGAAAGGTGATGTAACACTGTCATAAACATGTCTTTGTCCCAACTTCGAGTGTGTTGCAGACATTCGAAGTTTGTTTAAATTTACAAAATGCAGTTACGTTGGTCAGTGAAATCACTGGAAATCGTTTCTTTGTACTTTTTGTCAGTTAAATAAAATTCAGGAGAATTAACAAATCACCAATTCTCAGAATTCTCAGAATTTCAGTATATGAGTACTTTCTTCATTACATTTGTATTCATAATCTTTAAGGAATAGTATCATAACCCTCCTGCTTAATTAGAGTGACTCCCTGCCCTGCAGTAATAACTCATTGAATCTCTTCCTTTTTCTCAGTAATGGATGTCACTGACATCATCACAGGCAAAATGGATGATGAGGACAAGCAGCACTTCATCCCCTTTCAGCCGTGAGTATGAACACTTAAATCTGCTCTGTGAACACATGAACTCTTGAACATGCGTTTGTATTACAGCATGAACAGGTGAGATTTTTGAAAGAGCTGTGTAGGATTGCAAGTTGCTAGTCTTATTTGTATTATCTTAGGTGATATGTGCACATGCAAAAGTGTTATTATGGCCAAAAATCAAATCTACGCAAATTTCCCCTTAGCCCAAATGTACTCGATCAGCCACAACATATTTGGTGTGAAAGGTTTACTTCTTTAGTTTTGCACTGCTGCTTATGAGGCCATTGTAGCTAAAAGTAATGGAAGCTATAATCCACCGTATTAACACTGAGCAAACTGTATGCCTAAATTATTGCACACTTGCCTCCAACCACATTGTTTAGTAATCACAAACAGACTGCATATCTGGATACTAATACTGTATGACATACTTTTATGTATAAAGATGGACTAAAGTGGAGAAGATTTCTGATGACTGATATTCATATTTTTAGCTATGCAATGCACTTTTGTCCATTTTTATAGATAACAGTATCACACTGAGGAACCACATAAGTCTATTTGAGATTACTCAACATCTCCGGTTTGTGACAAGTGTGTGATGATGTAGGCAGGCTTTTTGCATGATGATAAATGGCTAATTGTACTTAGCTACATCAGCCTCGTAGCTCCAGTACAAAACTAAATAAATAAACTCTGGCAGAGCAGGCATGTAAAAAGTATTGTGTGCAGAGGGCGCTAACAATAACCCTGTGCTTCAAGCTTCCTCATGGGCAACACACTTAAAGTTTTTTCTATGGTTTGAAACTCTTGGCACCTGATTAGCTGTAGCCTGTAACATTGGTTTCTGCCGATTCCCTCCTGGCTCAATTAAGACTAACTCGTTAACTCCTGTCCATGAGGAGCTGGGAGAATGTGAGTAGCCCTTCCTCTCTCAGGATTCTCCCTCTAATTGGAAATCCTTTAGATAGAGGCTGTCTGCAGGCCTCTTAACATTTTCCAGCCCTGGATAAGCCAGGAAGCAATTAAACCCCCATGCGTTCCTCAGATAAGACGCTTTCTCTCACACTTGTGTGTATGTAATTCTACAGCATACTTGAGTAAACGTCATTTCAGCAGTTTTGAATCTTAGAATCAGAGTTTTGGTCTCTCTGGGTATGTAGTTTTTGGAGCAGCTCAGCACAGAGGATGTATATAGAAACAGGGAGTTAATTAGACTTAATGACATAATGGGCAGAATAAGTTTGAGCTAGAATCCTTTCCTGAGCAGTTAAAAGCCATTCTAGAGGATTATTTTGTATGATGGACATGCTCAGAGAGACTTTTTTTTAATTTGAGACTTTGGATTTACAGTGCAAAGTTTTTACGAAAGTTTTGTAGTTTACTCCTGTAATACTAAGAATCTTTTGCTGTCAGAAGTGATCCTGCTCTTGTGTCTGTTCACTCATAAGCACAAAACTTCTAAAACTGTGTAATAATACAAAGCTATTTCTAAAAACATTGGAAAAGCAAATAAAAACTGGAAGCAGTGATTTAAAAATCTACTTTGACCTGTATTTGAGCAAAAACAGTGCAAAGACAGTGGGCCAGCTTCATATAATGCAGCGCCAGATTACAACAGTAACACGTTGCTTATTCATAAACAAGGATTAACGGCATGTTTACAGCTTATGCGATGTGAGGTGTGGCCATGTTCCTGTATAATTTAAATATGATAGTAGCAATCCATAACACAACACATTTTTGCAAAAATAGCACATGAACCACTGCATCCGTACATGGGTCAAGTTTCAGTTTCATTTAATTTAAATAACATTTTGACTTGCTAGCTAATAATATTTTAATGTTCCATTAATATTTAGATAATGTAGGTCTTTTTTCATCTTGGAGCAGCTGTTTATATGTTAAATTGGTGTGGGGTGGTTATAAAATTCAGTATCATGGTCTTTTTATACATATCACAGTATCATACAGTCAGATGAAAACCTTTAAGGACTGCATGCCTTGAGTAAAGTACCCAAATTAAATGGTCCTTTCTTTAAAATATATCGCTAAAACATCACTGAAACAGGAAATGATATGTCAATATACCGGTATAGATGATATATCATCCAGCACTGTGCTAAATGTTTGGCGTGGAAATTGTATGTTGTAGATGATGATTAAGTGCTTTTAAAAGGAAAGGTAATGTAACACCGTGGTGAACGTGCCCCCGTTGCAACTTTTTTCGAATGTGTTGCAGGCACGGAACGGTCGTATATTTACAAAAAAAAACAAAACAATAAACTTAAAAAATCATGGTTTTGCATTTTAAATTGTATACAGGTCATACAGTATTTACTAATCACAGCTTTCTGTTTTTTATTAGCAATTTACTTACTTGGGTTTGAAACAATAATAAAAATAATAATAATAATACTAATACCATTTGTTTGTATTCTGCCTTTCTCCTGCTCAAGATAGTATGTATTTCCTCTGTTCCAATACAAGCCTTTAGAAGCTTTGGTCCTAAAAGTTTTACTGTGTTTGTTTTTTGTTAAATTCTGAACTTATAAAATGTAAAAACAGCTGTATGTCTCATTTTCTTTAAACAAATAAACAAACAAAAAACTAATTGGACTCCTGAGCGGCAAAACCGAACCCACTGTCAGGAGATTGCAGAGTCGATGGCCCTGACGATGCCACAACCATCTGTAGCCAGGAGTCCAAGAGAGCATAGATGATCTCACTCTCTCTGGATGGGGGGGGGGTAGGGTGGCCCTCTTTCTCTCACTAGTCCCCCCCAGTGCGCTGCTAGCCAGCATCTATTAGCTGACGTAACAGAAGTCACAGTTAGTGTTCTCCTCCATGCATGCTGAGCTGTTGAGTCAAATCAAAAAGATGCTGTATTGCAGTAAGCACATGCTAGCCTTAATTCTCCCAGATTGGTGGGATTGTGTTACGGGGGAGACCTAGCTAATAAGTTTGAACTGGCCACGACTAAATTCCATGAGTAAAAATACACACCAAAAAAAGGTGTCTGAATGTATGTACGTTTGGCCACCACAAGTATTTGGACACACATTTCTTACAATGGTGTTCGTAAGCTTGTATTCATTGATGTGATCATGAATTCAGAAGTGTACAAAGGCTTTTTGGATGCAAACCTGTAAAAGAATGGTCTAAACACAACAGAACGATCTAAAACACTGGCTGTTTGACTTGGTTTCATAAAACAATGAACTTAAAACGTTTTAAGTATGACACAAATGTCCAAATACTTTTCAAGCCACTGTATGTATGTATGTTTGTGTATGCATGAGTGTATGTGCTCGTCTCTGTAGCATTCTGTGTTGTCTCACCGGCGTCTGAGTTCTTTCTGAATAAAAGCCAGTAACCAACCAACCAACCAACCAACCAACCACACACACACACTTCTGCATAATCGTATTTGACGATGACACCTGTCCAGCTGCTGCAGTGTTTCCTTTCTTTCTTTCTTTCTTTCTTTCTTTTTCTTAATTTCTCAATACCATGCTTTGTAGTCATTATCCATCTCACACAATGCAGCACTTCTTCTTAGCAGTCTCTCTTTTTTTTGCCTTTCTCTTTCTTTCTTTCTTTCTTTCTTTCTTTCTTTCTTTCTCTGTCTCTCTTTTTTTCTTCTCTTTCTCTCTCAGCAATGTGGAGGGCCTTTCCCGCCGGTGTCAGTGGCGGGCATCAGAGCTGGCCGCTGTCACGCTGTCACTCATGCCCTCGGGGCAGTCACTTGTACAGTGCTAGTAGCCCTGGCTCCGGGCTTGTGCTTTATTAGGCTCAGAGTGGAGTGGGAGCATTTCTTAACTTACACTCTCTCTGGTTCTCTTCCATCACCCACGCTGTATCACTGTTTGCTCACAAAATATAGGCTTTTGTCTTCTGTCATGGTATTTGCATCACTGTTTGGTCTTTTCCCTCTTTTCTCTCCCCTTCCTTCCCTTCCCTTCATCATCCTCCTCTCCTTACCCCACATTCTGCTCATCTGCACACTGCTCTTGTTCTCCTTTTTCATCTTTTCTTTTTTTCCCCTTTTTCTGCCTTATTTTTTTCTTTTGAGCTTTCTTTTACTCTTGCATCCCTTTTTTCTCCTTCTCTTCTGCTTTTTATTTGGCTTTTTTGCTCTTTTATTGCTATTTCTTTCTGGCTCTCCTTCACTCTTACTCCTTCTACATCTCTATATTTCTCTGCCCCCCTTTCTGTCCCTCTCTCTCTCTCCCTCCCTCCCCGTGGTGTTTTGCCTGTTGTCGTGTGTGAACTCCAGGCTTGCGCTGGATGACGCCATCCGCCACAGGCAGCTGAACATCTCCCGTTTTTCACCCAGGGTGGCGGGGGAGAGTGACTTCCTCCAGAGTGTCATCAACAAAGTCATCGCTGCTAAAGAGGTCAATCACAAGGGTCAAGGTAAGCCCCTACCTCCAACCCACAAAATCCCCTAAGTACTAGTTAAGTAATCCTTTTTCGCGGTTAATTGAGTAATACGTTTTTAAAGAAGGGTCAACAAGAAAAGCGGACTTTAAAAGACGAGCATTAATAACATCAATAGCTTTTCAAAGATTACCAAATACTTAAACATCTCAAATCCACATCAAATCTCTCCTCAAATCCACATCAAATCTCTCCTGAACGTATAACTTTTGCAGTGCAGCTCAGATTCTTTTTGCATAAATTTGCATAAATAAATGAATAAATACATAAAGCAGGTATAGCCTTGGCTGGAACTGACTGAAAAATCAAGCGCAGTCAGTTAAGAGGAGGCTATGAAGCTTTTATTTATGAATATCACTATTCCTGCTCTTTCTTCATTTATTTACTTTTACTTTATTTACTTATTTACTTCATTTATTTACTGTTTGTCCTTTGTTTCTGGGACCGATTTAAACTGGATTCAAATGAGCCTCAGTGTTATAGGGCTGTGGTCTCTCGTCACTGTCTCTACGGTGATTGATTCTGTGTCTCCCGGCTGGGGAGCAGCAGGTTCACTGCCAGCAGGATTTGTTATGACACGCACACTGGCTGTCTGCTGGTGTCATGTCATATGAAGCTCCGCTGAACTAAATGCCAGCCCCCCTCCTGTGGAGAGGAGGATTCTACAGGAGAGGAGAAGGGGACAGCGAAGGAGAGAGAGGAAGACAGACAGACAGACAGACAGACAGACTCAGATTTAGACGTGTTTGTGTGTCAAAGACGCTTTTCTGCTCACTGAGTCATGAAAGCTGAGCTAATCCCTCTGCTTAATTATGGAGTATTTTAATGCTGGAAAGTTGAGTGAAGTTAAATAAGAGATGGAAATGGAGCATATGTGTGTGTGTGTGTGTGTGTGTGTGTGTGTGTGTGTGTGTGTGTGTGTGTGTGCATGCTTGAATGTGTATATCATAACGATTGCTTTTGAGAAGCAGCTCAAATAATCTTCTTTTACTACGTAAAGATTTATTTGACCTTCAGTAAAAGATACATTTCTCTTGAGGTATCATTAATTTCGTCTAATTTGGTTTACTTTTATGCTTTTGTTGCTTCTTAAGTTTTTTAATCTACTGCAACATCTGTGATGTGTTCTTAATGTATTTAAATGCAGAATTGCTTGTTTAGGCTTGTATCAAATATATAACAAATGCAAACAATATGTCTAAATCTCCCACCACGATTTTGTTGGCAGCAGACTAATTCAGTCTTCTTAATTGCTTTCAAAGATGGTTGCTAGTAGAGGTATTGTGAAACTGAGTGCTATTTAGCTGATAGCTGTTTAGCTTGTGTTTGTGTCTGAGAGATTCAGTTGGAATAACTTGGTCAGGGTTTTCAGAGTTTCACCTAAGGAAAATTGATGAAAAATTTCAACACTATTTTCAGCACTGATTTTATTTTTGGTTGTGAATCAGTTCACCATTATTTTTGTCATTATGGCTGTTGCAACGCTGATATCATAGAAGGCTACAATATGCAAATCTGCTCTATTACCAGTCACAAAGGGTGCTTTCACATTTGTAGTTCTGTTCCATTGGTCTGGGCCAAAGCAGAAAAGTGTGCAATGTTGCATTGATTTCTGATTCTCTCAGTGTACACACTGACATTTCACATAAAACCAAAAGATGTAAACAAAAGTCATATGGACAAAAAAGTCACAACTGATGGGGGAAAAAAGTTATGAAATATGAGGAAAAAAAGGCACGATAGGCTGTGGATTACAGCGATTTTATCACGGGACGGGTGTTCTTAGTCTCCCTTCCCATGACAAAGTCGCAGTAATGCACAGCCTCAAGTGGCTTATTGCTTTTATAAATTGGTGGCCATCATTTAATATGATAAAATACACACTTTTTCAGAAAATAAATTGTTATTATTAATAATAATCAACATCAACATCAAGTATTCCGCCAAGAAATGTAGTTCCTTTAGAGTATGGTATCGTTGCCAGACAGCCATGGACCGCTGAATGGGAAGAATGTTCAGTCGGCCTTGCTGTATATCGTGGACATTTCATGAATATTTTTTAACTTTTTGTCTTATAATGTAAGCTCATGAAGAGATTATAAACACATACACATGTCGAAGCGACATCAGAACTTGGTTTGTTGCAGGAAGAAAAGAAGACGTGTAGAGAGGAGCCGACAGTTTATTCTGTGTTTGATCCGTTTAGACATTTTGTTCTGTATTGCGTTCATATTTCAAACAAGCCGCACCCGAGTTCATTTAGAAGCAGACGAGACACCTACATCCTTGAGGGGTCTTAGTCCATTTATTTGATGTGCACCAGGGTTCACATGGCAGCATTTGTTTTAATGAACTGCCATAACAGAGGAATCCCATCAGGGTTTGTTTCAATAGAACCAGTCCTGCCAGGTGTCATCAAACCCTAAATATCTTATGTGCTGTCAGCATTATGACCAACCTCAAATGCTCCGGATGAGTGTTCTGTTGGTGTTGAGCTAAAACAGGCTTTTTTATTTATCAAATAAAGGCTTTATATGATTAAAAGACATAATGGTTTTGTCAAAAAGAGCTCAGAACACTCGTAACCACGTCACGTCATGGATTCAAGTGCTTCTAACATCTTAGATCACAGTACATAATGTTATGATCATAGTATGGATTTTGTATGGATGTTTTTGCAGTGTGCTTTAATGTGAGTGTATTTAAGTGTGCCTCCTCCCTCCTTGTTCAGGGCTGTGGGTCACACTGAAGCTGCTGCCTGGTGATATCCATCAGATCCGGAAGGATTTCCCTCACCTAGTAGACCGTTCCACTGCTGTCGCTCGAAAAATGGGCTTTCCTGAGATAATCATGCCAGGTGCAAATTGAACGCATTTCGAAGTGGAAATCTGTATATTGTGGTTTTTGTTGATATATGAAATTTTATTTATCCTTTTTTAAGCCTTTGGTGAGTCCCTTAAAGGTCCATGTAGAAATACTAGAAATAGTAGTTTGTGAAATAACATGTTAAGGAGATTATTTTAATAGAACCCATGATAAACGGTTAGTGGACTAGTTTGTGTTTTTTCAGGTATATTAACTATATTAAGATAATAGAACATTTTTCAATTAAAGCTCATGCAGAAATGTCGTTTAGTTAAAGTAAATGTTTATTATAGGATTTACACAGTTTTTTGGCAAAATATTGTCAATGAGTTATTAACCTTAAACTGGTGTTACACCACATGACTATCTCAGTTTTAGTAAAACTTGTCTCTTACCATAAAAATCTATTAAGTTGAAAAGTATGATAACCAGTTATTTTGTAATTTGTTAGGATTTTAAAAGGTGTGCAGTGTATGTAAGGCTTTACGGAAGTTAAAGCGAAGGAACTAACAGCCTCAGTATCTTCTTATGTTCTCTTTATTTCCTGTAGTGATGCATCTGTGACATATACCTCTTGTTTTGTGTTGGAGTTGTAAAGTTTTGGTTTGTTTTTAGGTGATGTCCGTAATGACATCTATGTGACCCTGGTCCAGGGAGATTTTGATAAGGGCAGTAAGACCACGCCCAAAAACGTGGAGGTGACCATGTCAGTGTATGATGAGGACGGCAAGAGATTAGAGGTTTGGGATCCTGAAGATCACACTCAAACATGCACTCTCTCATACTCAGTCACACACACATACAGACTATAAATGTTATGACATGCATATTAATATTCATTTTTTTCCATACAGGAGTAGTGAGACGGTATGTACTATGAACTGAATACAGTTAGATTTCAGATTGAAGTTAGATTTCAGATGGATTTCAGAAAGTCCAATGACTTTGGAAAGTGACTGGGGGGAAAAAAAAAATCTTATTCACTTGTGATAATGTATTGTACTGTGGTGCAAAACAAACCACAATATATATTTTATATAGTTAAATTTGTGTATCATTACAGATTTAACAGACATATGCGCTCTCACTCATACTCTCTCGTCTGCCAGATGAGTTGTCTGCTCCGCAACCCCCACCCTATAAAGAGGTTCACTTTAAGCATGACTCCGCTAAACCATCTGCCCTCCTTCTGTCAACCTTACATACCCCTTTTTTTCTTTTCTCTCTCTCTTTCTTCCTCTCTCTCTCTCCCTCTCACTCTCTCTCCATCTCTGTTTTTCTGTGTTTATCTGTCTGTCCATCCCTCTGTCTTTCTGACCTGCGGCCTCCTCCTGTTGGACGGCTGGTCAGCTAGAGCTTGTAATTGGTGCCTGTCTAAAAGCATTAGCTCAGAACTAAGTGAGCATTGACAGGGCTAGATAGGAAGGTGTATGGAAGTGTTACAATGTGGGTATGTGTGTGAGAGAAAAAGAGAGTGAGAGAGAGTCGGAAAGAGGGCACATGCTGACTCTGTGGTTGACAGGTTAAAGAGGTTTAAAGAGAGCTGATTGGTAGATTACTGGGCTATCCTTTTCTATCACTGATCTCTTAGGCTGTGCCTGACGTAAAGGGCTTGCAGTGGAAGTTAAATCCGTATTCTAGGCCTGTCAGAACATATGATTTCCAGCAGGAGTGATAGATTATTCTTTTTTTGTAAATTTCATATTTAATTCTGCCTGTCACATCTAAGAAGGAGAAAGGATTGGGTCTGAGTGGGCTAGACATCAGAAACTTGCTGTTTAATCAGAAATAGCAGCAAAGTTAGGTCATGTGAAACAAATTATATCTGCTTAATTAAACATGAATACCCAGTGTAAAAGAAAATCAATGCATCTTTTCTGCATGATTGAAAACAAGACAGCTGGTTCAATCTCATGTTTTATTAAAAAATTAAAATTGTACATTTTCATATAACGATTATAAATAAATTGTAAAAGGATAAAAGTCAGCTTAAATTCACAAGTTGAATAAATTGTTTAGCTTTAATATTTTCTCTGCAGAATGTGATCTTCCCTGGTGCTGGAGATGAAGGGATTTCAGAGTACAAGTCTGTCATTTACTATCAGGTCAAACAGCCACGCTGGTTTGAGACCATCAAGGTGAGTTTGGGTCATTGTAGAAAACTACATGCTATTATTGATGCAATGCTACTACACTGCTACAAACAGGAGAGTTCAGAGTAAAAAGAGGCTACATAATGAAATATGCACATTCATCTATGTATTAAAATCACATGAAATGATAATAATAATTACAGCTCAAAGTGCCTCACAGTGAAATTAAATAAAACATCAAAATCATGTCTGTAAAACAGTAAAAGCAAAAATCAAAACAATAGCGAGAAGTGTTTGTTTAATAAAAATGGTAATAATAAACTAAATATAAATATAAAGAAATAGAATTAATGAGAATCAAAATGAGCAATGAAATTAATAAAATAAGATTTGAAATAAAAACAGGAGCGCTAAGCTAAATAAAAATGTTTTCAGCTGCTTTTTAAACCTGGTCACAGATGATGCCCGCCGAATGCTGAATGGTGAAGTTCCAAATATTTGGTGCGTAAAAACAGAACACTGTTTCACCAGTTTTCACCAGCCTTTTTGTTCTTCACCCTGGGAACATTCAATAAAGCAGCACTCTGATCTTTAAAGCACGATTAGACCTTCACAGGGGTGATAATTTGAGATTATTAATTGGGCATTGTTCATTGCACTTCTTAGAAAACAGAATGCCTCTCTACTTGCGCAGTTGTTAACCGTGTGTAATTACATATTCAGATTCAGCACGGTGGTCTTAGAAGGCCTTCAATGAATTTATTAATACTGCAGCTCAAAGGTTTGCTTTATCTTGACCACACAGGGGTCAGCTAATCTGCAATTTGATAGATAAAGGTGAAATAATGTAAATAGCAAGTGACACTTAGAATTAACATTTTTTGTAATCTTTTAAATAATTGATATAAAAAGTAATACAGTTTTCTTATGTGGAAAGAGTAAGTACACCCCTACATATCGCTACTTTAAAAACATGTCAGATTGAAATCAAATGATTAGAACACCATTAGAGAATATCTTGGAGGAACTTTTTTAAACCTAACTAGTAAATGATCCTTGTGTTTTGATGACCGGCATAATGGTTTGTTTCACAGGGGTTTTATTTTCATGGTTATGACAATTGTGTGCCGCTACACGTCTTGCAGAAACTGTAGCTGCTGGTTCGACATCACATTCACATGTCCTCTTTCTGTCAAAGTAAGCGATTCTTTGCCATGTCGTGCAGTGAAACCCACCAGATTCTCTGATGATTGATAGACGCTTGGCTTCAGAGACTAGGCCAAGAAAAGGGCTGAGGTGGAGCTGGTAATAGTAGACACAGGAGAAGGCCACACACAGGAGAAGAGCATTGTGGGAAGGTTTTCTCAGTACTTGTATGGTATGGCATACCACAAAGAAAATACGGCTTGTGTCTCAGTGTTTATTAATATTCATGCCTTCTTCAAGCCCTGTGTGTTACTAGGCCTTTCAGGTTGAGGTTACTTTTTGGGCTGTATGCTGTGAACCTTTTTTTCAAATTTTATTTTTATGTCTATAGTTCCTAGCAAATATTAATATTCATGCTTTCTTTAGAGCATAGTATGTTTGAAGACTATCTGGCTATTATTATTCTTGGGTTTGGTGGGTGTGTGTGTGCACACGCAGAAACAGTTTGAGAGGGCAGTGTGAGACGCAGTCCTCAGAGTGTGTGTGTATTTATGTGATCTTAAATATTTATTTTTCTTTTCTGTATTCTTTCCACTCCCTTAGGTGGCAATACCCATAGAGGATGTAAACAGGAGTCATCTTCGCTTCACTTTCAAACATCGCTCGTCTCAGGACTGTGAGTGCCACTCAAAACACAAAACTCCTCCAACACTCAGCATCATGGCAGTCTGACTGTAGCACAGCTGCCGTGTCACACTGCTGACATTCTCTACTGGGACTGTGATTTATCAGCCTCAAGGACATGAATGATACACAGCTCATTTGTTTTACACACACAAACACACATTGGCAGTCAGTTCAGTTTCTAACTGCTAACTGTTAGTGTTTTCCCATTCGACCTAGGCTGCATTTGACACTTTTTTGCCTAAGGTTATAGCGTACTCTTGCAGACTGCTGGGGCCTCTGCTTTACTCCAGTCAGTTTTCCTTGCACCAGCAGAATTTCCCCGCTATAAATCTGCATCTCCCTGCTACAAATCTGCAAAAACACTGTCTATAAACAGTGCATCCAGTTTACAATGCATGTTCTTTTTTGTGCATTTAATTTTCTTTACAAACACTGCAAGAAGTGCTATAATTAGTGACTCAGTCTAATTCATAGATGTAGTGCTGTGATGTTAAACAGACTGACATTAACGACAAAGAACACATGCAGGTTTTATCGTCTGTATGAAGGGCTTGCTTGCGATTGCGACTGATTGTGTGTGAAAAACATGCACGTTTTAACTACTCTTGCTGGAAAGCACCAACATATTATGCATAATAAGTGATCTGAGGACAAGCACTAATAATTTCAAAGACATTTCAATGTACGACCAATAACAATGCTGCAGCAAAAAGTAAATAAATGACAGATCAGTCAGATGTCCCGACTGTCTCCCATACTGTCTCAAAGTTACTGGGCCATCCTTTATAGTTCAGCGCTAAACAGTTTATCATTAACAGGCCCATATTGTATGTTTTTCTTGTATTTTTCACTACTTTTGTTTTTTTCACTACTTGACAATTGTGTGGTTTTAAGCACCGAACACAGTCCTATTTCATATTCCAACCTTTGTTTAACCCTTATAAATAAACATACTGTTGTTACTATACCTTTAAGATTGATTATATACAGTTGACCTTGCCTCTGATTGGCTGCCTTGTATTGTGCCTCATTAGAAAACAGTCCAGGGTGAAACACTCTCACTTCAGCGTGAGTGGACGGGGCTAAACTGCTCAATTGTTAATGTGTTTTTTTGTGATATTACAAAACAATGAATTCAGACATTTGTTGCTTAGTTTTTGTATATGATGGACTGCATGAGCTAGAGATTCAGCAGGTCAGTGTGAAAGTTTAACAGTATTTTCATAATATGCCAAACTCTTATTAAAGAAAAAAAAAATGTCATGATAGGGTTTTTCTCACATTTAATTGCACTTTACAGCACATTTTCTCTGACCTATCTAGTAACACTTGATCACAAATACACATACTCTGTACCTGACACTTCGCCTCACATTTCTTTGACTTCTTTGATTTTCACAGTGGTTTACTGTCGACTTAACTGGAGCAAATCTTGCTGGTAGTATTGGTAGTATCCTGTCAACATGACTCTGAGGTTATTTGATTCCCTAGATGAATGATGTGAAGCATTCTCCATCCTTCTCAGAATCCACTTTAGAGTTGAAATGGAAGCTCCACACTTCTCTTCATTGTTTTCTTGTGAAGTTAAGCCCTTAATTTGGAGGGTGGCGCCTTTTAAGTGATTGCTAGTTCCTATAAAAATTCTTTTTAACACCTCGTAACTGTTAAAAGACTGAATTATTTGCACATGTTTGCTGTTGCCTATGTGATTGTATAGAACATTTGTGAAAGCTGCTGGAGATTCTCGTTCTTTTTTCATTTAGCAATGATTTTGGTCCTTTGCATTGATCTGGCTTTTGGTAGTTATTAGGTTTCTTAGGGTGTTTTGCTTTTTAAGTGTTTTAAGTGGACTGTGAAATTTTCTCTAAACGCAAGGAACTGAACTGAAGACCGCTTCTTGGGGTGTAGGACCTCTTAAGATGGTCCCATTATGGTTCATTTGTGGTTTGTTTCGATGTCTGATTGATTTGTGCACTATGCAGACAAAACAGCCCCAGTTCATCATGCGTTTTGCTTTATGGTTAAAGAAACTTGAGGCTTACTGTACATTTATGTAGCCACAGTACAGGTACAGGAAAAAACAAACCACTCCAGTTAAAGGCTCCACGTAGGTTTACGGAATCTTACGAAGAGGCAGCAGTCTAACATATTAAAGCCATGAAAGCCTTTGTGTTTTTATAGTTTTTAGTGTGCTTAAAGAATGATTTTGTGCAAAAGCTTGGCGCTATTGGAGTGTTGTACTGTGGGTTTGATTGTGACTCAGCCATTCAAATCTGTTGTGTAGTGAAGTTGAGCCACGCTGACCATAATTCCCCTTCTGAGTTCTAAAGTAGTTGTGGTGTGATTAAGTGGGCTGAATTCTCATCAATGCTAAAGAAGACCAGAAAGTGACCTGAGTCCCTTTTTTGATTTCCTCTTGTGCTGAAGTTTGTGCTGTTTCTAGGCTGTTGGTTTAGTTTTGTGTTGCTCTGAAGCTCTGCTGAAGCAGTTCCCAGATTAGCAGTCTCTGTGTGTGTGTGTGTGTGTGTGTGTGTGTGTGTGTGTGTGTGTGAGTGAGTGAAAGAGAGAGAGAGAGCAAGAGAGGGAGAGAGAGCTGGGCTGGAGTCTTTATGGGTTGAGAGATGGCGCCTGGTGGAGGGATGTGGTAAACATGCTTAGCAAGATGGGGTGTGTGTGTTTAGATGTGTGTAGTTGTGTGCCTGCGTGAGCATGCAGGGCAGGGAATGTGTACTTACAAGTACAGTATATGTGCTTGTGTGTTTGTATTTATATATGAAGAGCAGGTTGTGTGTGTGTATGAGAGTGAGAGAGAGAGTGAGAGAGAGAAAAAAATCTTGCCCTGGCAAAAGTGCCTTTCCATCTGCTAGCAGCACTGGGGTGGGGAGCAGGGTGGCTTGCTTGGTGCCGGGTGGCTGGCGAAGGGCGGCGTATGTAAAACAATCAATTAGTCCGGGCAGGTGGTGGAGAGCACACTAACACTGCTGTTCCTCGGGCTGTGCCACCCACACACACACACACACACACACACACACACACACACACACACACACACAAACGGTCAGACAGCTCCTTTTTACATGTGTTGTACCATCTTAGGCTTGGATAGTACAGCAACAGTAGAGTCAGACAGTGTTACTGTAGTATGATAGTGTTAGTTTGTTTACAAATTTCTTTTTATGCTTTTTAAGTGAGGTTGTAAAGGTATATGCTGGGGTAGGATACAGTTTCTCAGCAGAAGGTGGAATTGGAAAAAAAGAAGGGAAAAAGGGTTGAAATAGTGTTGGCAACATATAGTTTTTGGAATACTTGCACTTGTCTCTCACTGTGATATTGATTCAAATTAATTGATTTTGATAGGTAGAGTTTTTTATTCATGACAACATTGCAATCCATAAAATAGCTGTGCCTTATTGTCAAGAAACATTTTCAGTTTTTTTTTTTTAATTCTATTTTGTGCACTTTATAAAGAGTATGTTAAGACCTGATGGTTAACTCTGTTATTTCTGCTGTTGGAACAAAACCTTGTATCTCAATTTTCATTTTTAAGTTTTTGACAAAATTTGAAAGAACCTGTTGCCTTTTACATTGTGTGTAAATTTCATGCTGAATGGACCAGAAGAAATGGCCCAAAAATACTTGGACAAAAATTCTGGTTCCACTAACTTGCATTAAAAGTAAAGTATGTTTTTTCCTTCTCCTATAAAGTTACCATTTTGGAGATACGAGGTTTTTGTTCCAACAGCAGCGTTATTATACAGGTTTATATCATTCGCTGGGTGCTTCAGATTTTTTTGAAAAAACTGTTCAAAATACAAAAAACAAATGCATTAATAGTGACCTGTAATCTGTAGGAACCGGACTGAATATATTAAATATAATAAATATATGTGACTAAATATATTCAAATAATGTGATACTACTATAAATTTGGAAATATTATATTAATTTCAGTATCAGTACCCAGCTTTAGTGAAAATAGAGGCAGAATATTCTCCAGCATTTCTTTCACAAAGAATGTTCTCTTCCAGATTTGTAGACATTTCTTGGTGGGGTTTTTAATTCTTTGCCCAGTGCTGCATAATGCTGACTGGTACTGAAATGTCAGTGAGAATAAACTGTAGGAATTCCTCCCTGTGGTTCTCTCTCTCTCTCTCTCTCACTCACTCTCACTCGCTCGCTCTTTCTTGCACGCGCACTCTCGCTCTCCTTCTGACTCCATCTCATCTTATCTACAGTAGAGGCTGGGAACTGAAGGTCCAAAGAGGCTGTTTCTTCTTCTTCTTCCCAGCCCCCCCCCCGTCTCTCTCTCGCTCTCTCTCTCTCTCTCTCTCTCTCTCCTGGTTCTGTTCTCCATTTGTCGTTCTCCATTTGTCTCTCTCCATCTCTCTCACTTTCTGTATGTCCTGCATCAGTCTGAGATACGGCTGAACTTTATCGATGTGACGGACAGCAGATAGCCCCGCCTCACTGTCCTCTGTAACCATGGTAACGGCGGCTGCTCTCTGACCTCCGTGGCCCCTCTGCCTTTGCTGATCATTACAGGTGCATGTGCTGCTGTGCTGAGGTGAAGGCAAATAGGGATAGGGAAGTGGAGTGTGTGTGTAACTGGGTTGTGTGTACAGTCTCTGGGGATTTTTGTGCTGGATGATGCAGTGTCTTTGAAGGCTGTAGTCACTTGGAAGGCTGACATTTGCAGTTCCCCTGGGAGCAGTTTGTTTCAGAGTTTGAGAGAATTTGAGCAATTTTTCACATGACAGTTTCACCTCTAATTAAACTCTCCTTCTCTCCAAGGTACAATTTGGAGGAGGACACAGTGTTGGATACCTTTTGACCTCCATTATAGCTTTAATAATCACAAATTGCTTTTGATCAATAAATGGCATGTCATTGGGCTTTAGGCCTTTTGGGCCCTGAAGTGAATTTCAGCGTTTACACCCTGACCCCAGCTTGTAACAATGCTAGGAATGTATTTTTGTGAACAGAATTTTTATGAATTTGGTGTGAAACATCAAAAATCTCATTACCTTAGGCTTGTTTGTTTTCTTGTGTCTGTTTTAGTATTGCATAGTGTTTTTAACTGACGAAAACTCAATTACTGCCAAGATAAATGTTTACAGCAATTTTCTTGGTTTCCTCAGACTTTCGTAAGTTTCAAAACGCATTATGTCTTATATGACTTTGTCATTATTCATCTGCTGTTATTATTTTTAAAAACCTTTTATATACAAAATGGTTACAAATGGATATATATAGCATTTTGGAATGAAACTTTGCATATAGATGAATTAAATATATGAAGACTACAACAATAAGAGATATAGTCATCTGGTTCCCAGATGTCAGATGTGCTTTATTACCCACTGGAAGCACCAGTCTTTGAAGCTGATGGCTTCATGTGTCCTATCAGGCATGTGAGGGCTGCTGCTGCATCTGTTCAAGCACTCTCTAGTATTTTGTTTTGCAGTGGACAGGCAGTGGCTTCTATTATTCAGTCCTCCTCCGTGTTCTTTAACACTCCTTCTTGGCTGGCACATAGACTTTAACTGTGTTAGGAGAGATTGATCCTGCATCAGCCTTGGAGCAGAACGTGTCTGTGGAATCTTAAAATCTGGAATGGTCCAGATGTTCAGCTGGGTTGTTGACGTGTACCAGGCTGTCAGCTCTAGTTCTTTATAAGAAGTAGCTTGTTCATCTTTCATCCCATCTCTCTTCCTCCCCACCACCCCCTCCTGCCCTCCCTGTGTGACTGATAGCTCTTGGTCAGTCACTGAGCAGTGGCCAGATTTATAAGGATGAACTGTGGGAGGTTTCTGGGCTGCGGAGTGTAAATTTGAGCTTGTTGATGTTCAGTGGTGATTATTCAAACCTGGTGATTGGGTCAGTTATAACTCCAGCCTCTTCAACTGCTTTGTTTGGGTTCAGCTGGTACCATTTAGTTCACTTGCATCACGTGTGGGTGTCTTTGATGATGAGCTTGTTTGCTTGAGTCTTTAGTCACAGATACTAAGAGGGGTTATAAGTATGCACTGATTCAACTTGTTCTATTCCGATACCGATATCTAAAACTCTAAGTATTGGCTGATATAGCTACTGATCTGCTGTCAGTGCTCTGTTAAAACATTCATTTGTTGTAGCTGCAAAGTACATGAACATAAATTATACAGTAGAGGCTAATTTGTCATATGAATGGTTATACACCAGTTTTTTCCCCCTTCAATTTTTAAGTGATGCTAAATGTCTAATTACAATTTATAATGACCGTAACAGTAAAGAAGTAGTAGGTAGTAAGACTTAGTAAGGTGTTGATCCAGTATGTCAGGTCACTACAACACTAATAATGATAAAATTCAGTATCAGCATGACTAGAAAGTCATCATAAACATGAGTCTATGTTAATATGACAGTCATACTTTCTTATATAGCAATCAGGGTGAAAGCAGTTCTCTTTTATTGTCTTCAGCTCCTTCAGACAACCCACAGTATGTAGTTATTAGCTTAGAGTTGTTTAAAGTTCTGTTTTTGCAGTGTGGACAGTCTTCCCACAGGGAGTCCAGTTGTTTACAGCCCTTTTGTTTAAAGAATGAAGCCAGTAGTACTTGAGTAGTTTTCTCTGTTTGTGCTGGGTATACACAGGTCTCCAATGACACAATGCCGATTCATGTGTGTTTTTTTTTTTCGTGCAGACAAAGATAAATCGGAGAAGATCTTTTGCTTTGTCTTTTGTGAAGCTGATGAGATATGATGGCACAACACTCAGGGATGGAGAACATGATCTCATCGTCTACAAGGTACAACACACTCACCCCCACACACAGATTCCATTGTTTTCTAGATGTCACGCATACTTGCTGACGTGAGAGGCGTATTGACTTTGTCAGTCTTGATCGTGCTGACCTAATGCTGTTTAGCCCCTAACCCCACATCACAGTGTAATCATTAAACAATTAAGCTTTTTATTAGTGCATTCAGTTCTGCATATCTGCATATCAAATATCATAATTATGCGAAACCTGACCTGGGCAAATCCCCATTGAGCTATGCAAATACATGGTGGTGTGAGGGAAAGTGCTGTCTGTTCTGGTCAGTATTAAATCTCCCTTTCTCATTTGCCCCCGACTGCAGCACAGCATGGAGTCTCCTTGCAGTCAAAGCTGTTAACATAGACAGATTTTGAATTAGGTGACTAGTCATTGGTATTAAGGTTCTTTTACCAGGTGCAGATGTTATAACGTTAGTGCTTATGATTAAATCAGCATTACTAAGCACTTTCACACACGGCTTGTTTTTCTATTTTCAAGAACATTTGGGACCTGACATCTGAAACAGCACTTCTGAAATGTTTATTGGCCCTGGCCTAAATGAAAATAAAATAGTGTCAATTGGAATGTGTCTCTCACTAGACATGTCTCTAAATAAAGAAAGTTTTGACATGTACAACCTAAAGCCCTAAGGCAGGGGTGTCAAACTCAACCACTGAAAGGGCCATATTAAAAAATCTCAACAAATCTTGTTGAAATCTCAACATATCTGTAGGGCTGTCCCATAGATTGTTGTTGGCGAGGGGGTGGGAGCTCACATTACATTGCAGTGTATGCGTGTATGCTGGGAACCATAGTGTAGCTCATGCGGAAATGGGCTAATATTAGTGGAAAATAAAAAATAATTATGCGGTGCGAATAGGATTGTGCCACGAGCCTGATGGTCCACAGGGCCTTGTTTGACACAAACCCTAAGGCATACACTTCGATTTATTAATCATAACTAGATAAACTATGTATTAGTTTCATAGTAGTTACTGAATAATAGGCCAGGAGTTTAGAGAGTTGATTTATAAAATAATTTTAAGGATTGAGAAACATACTCTGTTCACAACAAATTCTGTATGCAATCTATTAAGGATGTACTGATATGGGAACTGTAGGAAGATGCCAGTGTCTGATAATTTTCATTTACATGTCTGTCAGGTCTAGAAATTAGAAATAGATTCACCTAGCATTAGCATTAATAAATGTAATATTTACTTTTACTGGGCTACAAATGCAGTAAAATAAATCAAATGCTGACAATTTAGCATGGTAGCCCAGCGTCACCTGAACATTCTGCTTTTCCGGAGTACAATGAATACATTAACTAATGTCGGTTTGAAATATCTTCCAGATCTAAACATCTGTCTTCTTTTAAGAAATATATCTGCAGATGCCGATATGATTCTGATATCATAATGTAGGGACTCATACTCATTGTAATTTCTTTGTATTTTCATTTAACTAATGTCCTTTCTTCTAACTTAAGGACATTTTGTCTCTGATGGAGTATATTTGTGTTTTCTTCTTTGTTGCATTGTCCAGGCGGAGGCTAAGAAGCTGGAGGATTCATCACTGTATCTGAACCTGCCAGCCACCAAGCTGGAGATGGAGGAGAAGGGCCATTTCCCCACAGGCAAGAGCACGCCGACCCTGGGCAACTGCACCATCAGCAAGGACTCCTTCCAGATCGCCACACTGGTCTGCTCCACCAAGCTCACACAGAATGGTGAGGCACGCATACACAGAGCTCTACTCAGCCTGAAAAAGCTTCTGTGAGAAAACAATATTTCTTTATGGACTTGCACTCCCTGTTCCTTTCCTTTTTCATCTGCCATTCCTTCTGTCTAATGAGAAATTATTGATTTCTTTATTTTTGATAACTTTTGCTTTTTAGTTTCACTCTTTCTTTTCTATCTCTCTTTCCTTTTTTCCAGTTTACATCTTTCATTTTCTTCTCTTTCCTCTTTTCCCCTTCCCTGTCTGTTATTCACTTTTTCAGTAATGGTAATAAGCCTTGGGCTGTAAGGAGGAGATGCAGATGAAGACAGTCAGACCTTCTGTTGTTGTAGAGGAAGACAGATCAATCTTTTAGTTCTGTCATTCTCTCTCTCTCTCTCTCTCTCTCTCTCTCTCTCTCTCTCTCTCTCCTTTCCCCTGATGAACTAAACTAGGCTTATTAAAGATGGGGAAACCTATTTTTGCTGCCTAGAACTTAAAGCTAAGCCAGTGGTCTGAATTTACAGAGAGAGAGCATTAGAACAGGGTGGGACAGAGATTTAGCCTGCTTTTTGACTGTATCTTCAGCCTCTGTAACAGTGGCTGGCAGCTTTTTTTGACCATATGCATGACCCTTTTAGTGAGACATGCAGATGAAGCCAGTGAGACAGATTGGCAAGACATACTGATTATGAATACTGAATGGTCACACTCTACGTAATATAAGGCAGCAGTCTTTACACCTTGAGTACAGTTTCCAGTCATGGAACTTGTAATCACTCTTAAGTGTAACACTAAGCAGCCAGTCAGTTACATATGCAGTTCAGTTAACAACAAGTCATTACAAAATCCAGAACCGGAAACTGGATTCAAGGTCCTCTGCTATAAGATGTGTGCTGGCAGCTTGTTGTAAGATTTGGAATTGATCTCTGTTGGAATGAGCTGCAGTAGAAGAGTAAAAGAGAGGGTAGGGTGCTGCTGAACCTGATGGAGGAAGGTGTGTTAACTACACTAGTGAGCTGAGGGATTGAGGGTTTCCCCTCTTTTTATGGATGGTAGATTCCATGTTTCAGATTTGCCTTGGAAAAAAAATGGAAGGGAAAGGAGAGAGAGATCAGGCTTTGATGAAAGGAGAGACAGAGGAGTGGAAATCATTACAGTCTGATCACACACTGAATGCAGTAAACCTTACTGCAGCTCTGCTGCAATCCAGTCCCTCCCTCTCTTGAACTCCTTTTTCTTATCCTCCTCTCATTTTCTCTTCTTCATTCTTTTCTCTTTTCTTGGCTTCCTGATGGATGTCATAAAGGTGGTGTTAAAACCGACCCAGCAACCACTGAAAGAATTGGAATACCTCTTTTTGATTTTGTGAATTGTACTAACTAGTTATGTACCACCAGTTTCGGCCACTGAAACATTTCGTGAAAAAGAGAAAAAAGTTGGATTCAGTTGGACTAAAACGTGCAAATTCTAACACTTGAAAAATCTGAATAATAATGAAAACATGGAACAGTGACTAAAAATGCTATTAGTTTCCCTCATTCTACTGCTTCGGTTGGCACTGACACATTCAACCAGTTTGAAAAGCAGCAGATAAAACAGTGGGGAAAAAAATTGGCTACATGGATTTATTTCACGGTTTTAATGAGGGACGTTAGACAAGTGATTTGTCTATCAAGAGAGGGCACAACTTTTCAAGAACATCTCCACTACAGGTTTGGTAATACTTAAAAACAACATTTCACTTGATATACAGAAAACAGTTTTTGCAGGCACACCTATCTGTAGCCACAGCTATCTGTAGCCGTGGGTTTGGAAATGCCAAAAAAATTATAAATTATATTTATATTATAAATTATAAATAAAAAATAATGGTACTTTTTGCCTTGGATGACTAACCACTCTGTTGTCAAGGATGTTGGATTTCGTGGAACCCACTGTAGCCTATGTACTGTAATCATTTTAGTAAGTTTATTTTATGTAAACTTTTTATTTATTGTCAGCTCAATTTTGTCTGAATGAAATCAGTGTACATTTTATGTTTAGTATATTTATTTAAAAGCAGAAAAATGTCAAAAAAATCTTTCTGTTTTGAGTTTGGCCAGGTGTGTCTTAAATTCCTGCCCAAAACCAAAATTTTCATTTTCATGCATCACTACTGCCTACCCTGATTAGCTGCAGCAGAGCAAAAGTTGTAATTCCTCTGTGCCTCAGGTACAGAGCATGTGATGACTGAGTCATTTGCAGCATCCTAATCTGTTTCTACAGGCATGCCAGCTCTGTAAATGTGTGGCACAGCGCTTTTTTCTACCTACGTGCTGATTAGCACCACTAACAATCTGCGGATGTGTTGGCCTGCTGGGTTAAGTGACCTCAGAGTCAGAGCCATGGTTTACACACTGTTATAATGAAGAGAAGCAACTGCTATTGCCGTCCCCCACAAACGCACAGACACAAGCCATGATAATGAGGTCATGGAGGACTCAGCTGATGACGTTTTAGTGCTCCACACTGTCAACTGTGTGTATAAACAGGCGAGATTGCTGCAGCCATGGACAGTAAGGGGTAGTTTTGCCACATGAAGCTTCATCGATCATCATTTCACCACATCCAGGGCACTGCTGTGCTATAGACGTGCCGAGAGAGAAAGAGTCAAACAGGGTGCATAGCTGAATATTGCACACATGCTCGCATTAGCATATTGAGCTGTAGCACCCTGCTGGTTAAGCTGTGCTGGTTGTGGTGTTTTCTATGCCAGTGCAGCAGGTGAAAATCAATGCAGCCTGCAGGACAGCAAGAGAACACTTGGCTGTGAGTGTAGATGCATTTGTATGACGGTTTCATGTTTGGCTATCATGTGGCGATATCTGCTTGTGCTAGTAATGTCTTAAAATGTAGGACATGGGACGTCTGTCTGTCATCGATGCCTTTGCTTCATGAGATAGAGAACATCTTTGCGCTGATAGTTCACATTACTGCTTCTAGTTGATTTGGCAGTCAGGCCACTTTTGCACCACACTGCACAACTGCTGCGCTGGTAATACACATGTGAATCAAGGTATGTTGCCTGATGTCAACGCATGCTTCAAGTTTATTTTTTGTCACTTGCCTTAATCAGCATGCTGGCAATTTTTGCTAGAAGCATTACAGTGTATAACATTTATACTCAAATTTGCAGGTTGTCAAAACAGCACATAAGCTACATTTAAACTTTTTCTCCTACTACAGCTGCCAAAGCCCTAAGTTTAGTTTAGAGTAAGTTTAAATGTCAAATAGGCAGCAATGCTGCCGTCTAATAATTTCGTTTTTCAGGATATTCGCTGGGTCATCACCACACTACGTCTGATTCCATGTTCTAACAAAGAACGACAGTGCCTTTCCGCCCCTTCGGCTTTGTGGCAGCTTTGTCATGATTTTCTTTCTCTTTTTCTATTTCCTTCTCACAAACTTTCACAGCCTGTCACATGCTCTTACACTTTCATATGTTTAATCTGCACATTCATCCTTGCACATTTCGCAAGAAAGAAAGTAGATATATGCATGTTGATGTGTAAAAGGATGAGATGATAAGATGAGTGTGTTAAAGCATGGCTTTGGTCTTTGGTCTTTCTGGATAGATGTATAGTGCAGTCTGTAAATAAATGGACAGCAACACAGTTTTTTGTGACCCATTCGCAAAAAAACACTCTTTACCAAGACGTACAATATAGCCTGTAAGGAACGGGGCAGCAACACTTTTTATGTTGTGAGTATGTACTTCAGGTCATGGTTTTGAGGTGAACATGCAGAATACTCACTTTAATTCAGTTCAAAGACATTTCCATCTATTCATTTAAGGGACCTTAAATAATTGGACTGCTGTCTTTTTTTTAGAGCTAACAAAAGGTGTAGGGTTAATTTTGCATATGGGATTGTCATTCGAAGTCTATTGCTGTTGTTTAAGCAAGAATGTGTGAGGTTCCAGCAATAGCTGGCAGACTATGAAAGACCACAGTACCAGTTTAAGAAGATTATCCAGGATGTTGGCACAGGTGTCTCAAAATCTACTTGCATGATCTCAGAAGGTTTACCTCAAGATTCAGACCACTGTTAGGCTTGAAGAATACAAGGACCAATGAAACCAATTACCTGAAACATACTCCCTGAAGCAGTTATAGACATGGAATGTTCTTGGCCAGTCTGAACCCTGCTGAGCCTGCGTTTCACTTACTGGAGACAATACTGAAAGTAAAAACCCCTGTAACACAAAGGAATTGAACATGGCTGCATTACATTCCTGGCCGAGAATCACACAGCGATTTGTGTGCTTTGCAGAATTCAGGGAGTGCAGTCACTGATTGCAAAGGACTTCCAATCAGGCACTAGGCTTTAGTTTTGTTCAAGGTTTGTGCAGCTGATTTCATTCCACACCATTTTAGGAGACTATACAAAATTCCTACATTTCCCCCTTTATATGTAAATATTTTTAAATTAAAGCTGATATTCTGTACTTTGACCTCATGGTTATTTTTTCATTTTCATATAATTTGACGTGATTCTCAATACTCTGTTCACTGTTTGATATTCTCACAATTTTTGAAACGATACATGAATGAAGAAAAATGGTGGCTGTATCCATAGTGCACAGCTTACTAATGAACATACTAATACATACTAATGAAGCTGATTAGTGCTGGTTGTTTGTGAACTTTGATGCCTAAACAATGGAATTACATTTCATACAGTAATTAATAGAATGTCCACTTTCCTTAATGCACATTGTCACATTGATGCATTGTTACATTGCTATGCTGGAGTATGGAGGAAAAACATAAAAGTCACTGCTCAGTTACTTACGGCCTCATTGTATGCCTTGAGGGGTGTGTGTTTGTTTTTCTATCAGAGGAGACGTATCTTGGTGAAGAAAGTCGTGAGAGATTGGTTGAAACTTCGAGTCGGTTTGATTTAGCATTCCATGGCTCAGACTCCTGTCTTGGCCTGTGAGTTCTTGAGGGAACAGGCCTCGACTGAAAAGATGCCAGGACACAGTGCTCCTCCTAGCCTCCAATGTCCTGTTGATTTACACCCTTTTGGTCCTCTCATTTCTGGTGGAAGCTTTAAATGTCAGTCCTGCTCACTGTCATGACGACGTCTATGTGAGTTATAGTGGGTGGCCATGAGTGTCCATATAGGAACTGTGGAATCTATTAAAGAAAAAAATGCCTGAGCCCTATGAGCATAGACCTTTGATTGATACAGTTAGCTTTTTTGGAAAAGGGCGCAATTTCTTTGTTATATTGGCCTTTGTCTTAGTTTTTAGGGCTTAGTTCTTTTAGTCCCCTTTCTGGTGTAATAAAGTCTAATAACTTAAGTAGTTAATCCTTCAGGACTGAAAAAAGACTTCTACTCTTCTCGTTTAATAACTTATTTTCTTAGTGCTGCTGTCACATTTTTAGGGATGCAAACAAATCGCTGTTGTTGGAAGAAAACCTTGTATGTCCAAGAAGATAACTTTACAGGCGAAGGAAAAAACCTACTTTACTTTTAATATAATTCAATGGAACCAGACTTTTCCCAAGTCATTTTGGCCCATTTCTTTTAGTCCATCTATCATGAAATTTACACGCAGTGTAAAGGGCAACAGGTATTTTCAAATGATGTCACAAACTGAAACGTCAAAAATGGAGATTTGAGTTTGTCTTCCGACAGCAGTGAAATGTATGAATATACATGAATGTAAATTAATACACTTCATGCTTCAGTTACCTTTTATTGTTACTCTGATGAAACAGATTAGTAATAAGCCTATCTGAATTCTGTTCTGAATGTGTGCACATGCTTCCTCACTGCATCCAACAATAAATGCAGCGTGGTGCTTCTTTTATATAGTGATAGAAAACATGGTAGCACAGAAAGCTTCAATACTGATCCATTTTCCTGTGTCCACCATGGACATGCAAACAGCCCACTCACGCTAGCTGCAGATTTTAAGAAGTTAAACAAGACATAGCCAGAGTCTAAAAGATTTACTGTTATGATATTTTGTAAGATGAGGTCAATGGCAGCTTTCTTTAGTTGAGTCAGGTGTGTTGCGGGCTGGAGGTTAGGGAACCAGCCCTGAGACCGGAAGGTTGCCGGTTCGATCCCCTCGGCTGACAGTCCATGACTGAAGTGCCCTTGAGAAGTGCCCTTGAGCAAGGCACCTAACCTCCAACTGCTCCCTGAGCGCCGTGGATAGGGCTGCCCACCGCTCTGGGCAAGTGTACTCACTGCCCCCTAGTGTGTGTGTTCACTAGTGTGCATGTGGGTGTTTCACTGCATGGATGGGTTAAATGCGAAGGTCTAATTCCACAGTGTGCAAACACAGTTGGCTGATGGTTCTGAACGTGAGGAAAAAGACAAACCTATGTAGTGCTCCCCCTGGTCTGGGAATGCTCATTTCTTTTACATGCTGTAAAGCCTTGACCTCATCACACTGTTCTAATTGATATTGCATTTGAAAGCCTAATAAATACAGATGAGTTTTTCTTTCTGGCTCCATAAATCTTTGAGGAAACCCTTCATTAGCTAAACACACAGTGATATTTGGCAAATTACGATGATAACATATATAGTCATCACATTTGAGCTTTTTTTTTTATATATACCTCTAGTAGATTGTTGCTAAAGTCTTAAGCTGTAGATTGATCACTTGATTTGGATGACTGCCCAAGAAATCATTGCTTTAGTTACATTTCTGAAATATTGCTGATTTGTGGCAGTTCGTCTTTGACAAATAGAGACAATTATGATAAAAGAAAGATGAATGAAATACGTGGTCAGTGTCTCGTGGTGGTCTGGCAATCACTTCACTCACTTTGAAGTTTACTCCTTTCATATTTACTTCTACTTCCATAGCTGGTTTAAAGTTCTGATGGGAATAAGAGTGGTGTGAGTCCTAATTAGTAATTGTGCTTTTCTCCTTTTCTCTCTGTGTCTCTGCAGTGGATTTGCTTGGTCTGTTGAAATGGCGCTCCAACACCAGCTTGCTCCAGCAGAACCTTCGCCAGCTCATGAAGGTGGATGGAGGAGAGGTGGTCAAGGTGTGTGTTTTTGTTACCCTGCACAACACACTTTTATATATTTATGACTTATAAGTTCTACTAATTGTTTATGATCTTATTAGTTTTACTAATACATAAAATGTAACTTAAATATTCAACAACAGCAAAAAAAAATTGTCTTAGTTTGTATTAAGAATTTTGAAGAAACGGTTGCAAAGTTGTAATTTCATTATGTCACCATTTAACTGTTGCTCTGAAATCAGCCATGGGTTTGTCGATGACTTGGATTTGGAGCACTGATCTTTTAGGACATTTCTAAAAGAAGTAGAAATGTCTTTCAGGCAACAGAGGATTCTTGCAGGTACCCTATCTTTGTGAAATCATTGAAGGTCAATGATGTCCCACAGCAGGGAGAGTGGACAGAGACCATCCAGTGCACACGGTGTAATTGCAAGGCCCATAAAATGGCTGTCCATCTCATGTTGACATCCAGCAAACTGTGCACTTTCCTCCATTACAATGAACTGCTAGAAAAATTGTGATAGTGATACTCGCTCTACCATCTCGATACATTATGGTGCCTGGAGGGCTGTTTGACCCTATAGCTGTTTGGCAGGAAACGTCTTAACATGCTGAAATAGCACTCCTTCGATGTCCTCACAGCATCTTTGAAACATCATTTGAGTGTTCTCATGATGTTTTCCCCAGTGCTCCAGTACTAGCCTTGACAGGTACAGCTGTGTTTTACCAAACAGCTTGAAGGCACCCAGTAATGAACAAAACAGGCAGGATACAGGCTTAACACAGTGTCCCTCAGAGCGGTCGCTTATATATTTGCTTCCTGTTATTCTAGAATTATAGTTGATGTTCTAGATGTTGCTGTTAAAACTTATTATTTTTTTAGCTAATTTCCATTGGTTCACTGAAAACAAAGCTCTTCATTCCAGACATACCAGTGAACAGGTACTCTTTTGAGGCCTAGAAAACACCACTGTTAACACAATCATTCTCTCACCAGTTTCCTAGCAGCCCTGTCCTCCCAGCTGGATGGTTTAGCTCACAGCTTGAAGGCAATAAATTATCAAGAGATGGTGAGGGATGGTTCAGAGAGAGATGCAGCAGGAATAGAAAAAAATGTCTTCTTTCCCACTGTGACCTCCATTGTGAGCTCTCTACCCTCAAAGTCAAGCCACCGAGTGTTGCACTACTTTATCAACGAGAGAGAGAGATTGTCATCAGTAATGAGAAATGCTCAAGTCTGGACAGTAGAAGAACTTTTGAACGAACTTGGAAGTGCTAGAGCATTCGAAAAGACTTGCATTTACAATTACAACATATGTGTTATGTGCATAGTTGGTCTAGGTAGAATAGTCAAAATGGAGGCTGTACAAGAGATATTTATCTTGTGAATCACTCAGGTCTTTGAAGACCAGTAAACAAACAATTTAGTGAAACCTGCTGGGGGAGATTCAGACTTCACTTTGTTTTATACTGACTTGTAAAACTTTAGCATCCTGGTTATGTCGATGGTTACCCCTTTTATACACCATTTTAAAGCCAGTTCGCTACTTACATATACAAAGACCTTTCAGGACAGATCTGTATGCTGACCAGTATGTCTGCATTGTGAAGCCGTTCATTGATTTGTAGATGGTGCATGTTCTGGATTTGCATGTTGTTTTAATGCTGACACATCATTTGTTATTGACAAGCCATTTCTTATCTATCTCTTAATGGTACTCACTCTCTCTCCTTCTCTCTTGCTCTCTTTCCTTCACTCTCTCTGACAGGAGTATGATTTATGTATATGTACTGTCTGTAGTTGCAGTTAACTGTAGCCTCTTCACAGTCTGTACTCCTTCACAGCACAGGCAGGTGTTCGCTAGGTGATGGTTAAAGCATTTTTGCATCTGTTTCAACTTGCAAACGCTGCACACACCATAGCCTCAAATAAACCCTAGGATGATGAGGCTTAGTGTGTGTGGTTGAGCAAGACGAACATTGTTTTGCGAAAAGGCAGCTTAAGGGGACAAATAGTTGTTCACTTATGCGATCTGTATTTCTAATGGCAGCGAACCAGGTGTCTGCTAAATAGTATTTGAGGTGCAACATCCTTGCTTAATGATAGGTGTTGATTTTTGCACTGGCTCCTTTCTTGATCTTGAGCAGCTTCACATTCAACACCTGAAGACCAAAAGAAAATAAATAAATAAATAAATAAATAAATAAATAAATAAATAAATAAATGTTACCCTGTGTTTAAAAACAGTGACGTCCTTCTCTAAGAATAGCAATAGGCTTGAGTTGTTACGTATATATATATCTTTTTTTTTATATTAAATTGTTCCTTTTTTAGAAAGTAAAGGAACTTGCGTGTCTTTTGTGGAGCAGGATAATTAAGGTGATTTTTAGCAGCTTCCTTCCTGAAATTTGTTTGAACTTTTTCTCTCTCTCGCAAGTTCTTTATTTTTTTTCAACAAGGTGAAGACAGAATTACTGCAACTGTGAATTAATTTTACTCTACCACGTGTCCAATGACCGGCTTCCGTTTTTCGGTCATTGCAACCTAACAAATGTGATTTCATATGATTTTATGATGACCTTAGAACTGACATCTCCTGCTGTACCATGTGTGCATGATTTATGATAAATCAATGATTTGGAATAGATGCTCTTAAATAAATAGATAAATAAATAACACTATCTTTTAGTGTTTTTGAGAGCTCTGAAGCACAGTTTTGTTCTTAGAGGGAAATGCCTTGGTCTACTTTGTACATGAACCAGTTGTAGACTTGTTTTTTTATAAAGTAGTTTGTAGCACCACTTGATGATTGATGTTTACTGCATGGCACTTCTATGAAGTTTGTTTGATTGAAACCTAATCAGTATAACAAGGGCTTTCCTGATGTGTTTCCAGTTTTTGCAGGACACCTTGGATGCTTTGTTTAACATTATGATGGAAAACTCTGACAGTGACACGTTTGACACGCTGGTCTTTGATGCCTTGGTAAGACCTTCACCTGTGCATGGAAGACAAAGGAAAACATCAATATAGTATATCATCACTGTTGGAACAAACTAAAGGCTCCATTTTTTTGTAACCTCATTTGATAACGCTAGCTGTCCTTTATGTTGAGTCAAGACTTCATGATGAATGGACCAATAGAAAAGGTTTAAGATGACTTAAATTCTTGTTACGTTAGTTTACATCGAATGTTACAAATGTTTTTTATTCTCCTGTAATTATTTTTTTTTAGATTTTCTTCAAACAGCAACTATAAGCTACTTGCAATGAATAAACTGAAAGGTTTACTTTAATTCAAAAAGAGAACTTAATGCTACAGTGAATATGTAGAAAAATTAAGTAGTAGTTTGAAATTCAACATGCTGGAAAGCCACAACAAAAACCTGTCTCTGTCTAATTATATGGCTCCAAAGATCAAATAAAAATGTCTCAAAGCTTAACGCAAGTGTACACCAATGTGCTTCATGCTATTTTCATACCTGCAGACAGTCTATATTAGAACCAACTTTTTATATCAAGGACAGATTGTCATTGAAAGGTGTTATATGCTGTGTGAAATATTGTTTTAACCATAGGTATATTTTTACGTCACAGCATATACACATATAAGCCTGGCACCAAAATTGAGCAGGTGGTGTGTTGAGGAAGGTTGCTTTGTGTTAAATAGCACTGTCAGTAGTTACTTAATATTAAACAGTAAATGCATTATGTAGTATACCCATCAGCAGTATGAAATGGCCTTTTATATCTTAACAACACTTTGTATTATGTGTTAATGATTTAGATATGTTTCAGAAATTTTAACTATAGGTCATTTAGCAAGTATTGTGAAATATGTTCTGTTTCTCACACTTTTGAATTGTTTTATTAATTTACTATCATTACATATGCTAGAGAGGGTAGTGTAAAAGCCTTCAGCACCCTTCAGTTTAAGTGAGAAAATTGTTCTTTTTTACTGTTCTGCTTTGTGTTCTTCTTCCTCTTCTCACTTTCTTTCTTCTTATTTTAGTTGGTTTTTAAATAAAACTTGGTGTAAGCTGGGTTATGTTTTAATGAGATTTTGTGTCTTGGGTAGGTGTTCATTATTGGGCTGATAGCGGACAGAAAGTTTCATCATTTTAATCCCGTTCTGGAGACCTACATCCGGAAACACTTCAGTGCCACTCTGGCTTACACGTGAGTGGATCTCCTCACAGGTTCCCACTTATAATGAATGGTTGAATGAAAAGAGTGCTGCTAATGTAAATTAGATTCAGGCTTAATGTACCTCACTAATCAGTGCTGATGTACTTTGAGAATGTAATAATTGTTGTTTTTCAATAGTATGTGGCCAAAAGTATGCGGACCCCTGAACAGTATATCCATGTGTTTTATTGAACATCTCAGTCAAAGGTGTCCCGTTCTGTGAGCTTGTATGGCCTTCCGTTTTGTGGCTGAGGTGTTGTTATTCCAAGACGTTTCCATGTTTCCCCAAAAAAAAGCAGCACTTACAGTTGACGGGGGCAGATCTATCAGGTTGTAAATTTGCCATTTGCTATGTGCTTGATTTTATGCACCTTAACTCACTTAGGGCGTTTTCACACTTGTCCCGAACACTTCAGTCTGTACCCAGGACCGATTCTGAGTTCTGATTGATCACACAGTTCCACACGTCACTTTTTTGTGTGCAGATTTGCAAAATGGTATCATCTGTTTGCTGCTTTTTACAGTTTTTCTTGGATACGCACACTCAAGCGGGACAATTGAAATGTTTCATGAACTGTGGCGATTTGTGCTTGAATGCCTGCTTCGCTCCATATGTCTATGAGGAATTCTGTCTCCACCGCTGTCCACCACAGGACGAAACTTGAAAAGGGAACTGATGTGATAAAGCAGTCACGTTACAAAATGAACCGATCATGCACCCTTATACACGATGCTGTCTGGCTGGATGATGTCTGCGCTCTTATTCTGTGATTAAAACAGGTGTCCACATACTTTTAGCTGTGTAGTGTATCAAGTTCATGTATGCAGGTCTATGTATGAGTGTCTTTGTGTTTATCAGGAAACTGACAAAAGTTCTGAAGAACTATGTGGACCATGCAGAGAAGTTGACGGATCAGCTGCTGAAGGCGATGAAGGCTCTGGAGTACATCTTCAAATTCATTGTGCGATCACGGGTCCTCTTTAACCAGTACGTTCCCTCACTTTTACATTTTTTAATTCTTATTTATTCTTATTTAACAAGCCAGATTGAACAGTAATTCACTTGTATTAAAAAGAACCTTTTTGTTGAGCTTAATTGTACTTAACCCTAAAAACTGTTATTGTTATTAGATTTTACACTACAGAGAAAGTAGTACAAAATGTTTCATAATGGACAAGAATTAAGTACACAGGGTCTGCCTCTTTCACTCTGTTGGGTGAGGATGAAAAGTAATGTGTCTATAAACGCTGAATTACTGCTGGAATTTCAGTTTAGAATATCGATAATCACTGTTTTAATATGAACTAAAAAATCAGACCTGGTTCTGAAACAGCTCTTGTGTTTGGAGACTCTTTATTAACACAAGCCTGAATTTACTCTCATAACTCATCTCAGTTGTATCACTCATCTTATATATACATCTCCAGAAAGCCGACTGGGAATCTAATTCCACTTTGCAATCACTGCATCTGTTTAATTGAAATTTGCATGTGGACCATATAGTGGGGTAGTTTTCCCCTGACAGAGATTGTTAAGCTTGGTCTTGGATCAAAATTGTTTACACTAGTTCTCTATTAAATTAATTCCAAACCAGGGCATAATCTGTGTCCAGGAAGCCAGCCGAGATCAGGCTGTTACTGAGGTATTGTGCCGTGTCTTCTTGATTAACCTCGATTTCTGTGCATATTTGGAATGGCTAAACATGCTACGGCAGTATACTGGCATGATGTATATCTAGGTAATTATTAAAGCTCATTGTGCACAGTCCACAAATCAACAGACAAAACAGCCTAAATCTGCCACTCCGGAGTTTTAATTTTGGATTAAGTTCTCATAACTAATCACATTTTGTTACTTTCCAAAGTGAGGCTCTAGAAAAGACTGAATCATTTCCAGGTTCAACTTTGGAACTTGCAGTGGCTGGTATGGAGCTGCCGTCTTGATTGGCAGGCTTAGTGCTAACAGACTGCCTTGCTGTGCAGGAGGCTACAGGTCACAGTTTGGGGAGGTGCTGTGTGGCATAATGACCCTGGATAAATTGAGTTCACAGGAAGTGATGAGCTTCAGGCCCACAGGGAGAGAACACAGTGCCCTTCCTCAGGTTGTTCTCGAGAGCACACAGCAAAAATGGGCTTAACCATTTTAAGCCTTCAGCAGAGACTACCAGTTGTACCTGAGGCAGCAGTGACGTCTCTCTGTAGGATTTTATTTCCATCATTTTATTTGCATTTAATTTCCATCATTAGCAGTTTTTTCCTTTCACCTTTTCATCCAGTAATTTTTTTTTTTTACCCTTGCTCACATGTCTGGTGATAGCGTGTGAGTTGAATCTTAATCTTTGTCAAATAAAAAGGACATAATAAATGCACAGCTCAGTACAAACTAGGCTTATAGTATACTGTTATCTTTAGTTAGGCCATGAAACTGTATCTAGTGTAATCTAGTAAGAAATAACAAAATTGCCACATGAACTTTACTGTCCCAGAGTTGATTAGCGTGATGCCTTCTTCTCCAAAGGGATTTCATCTGAGGCTGTTTGAAAAGGCCTGTTTTATCTGCTGGAGAGAGAGCAGAGACGTGTTTTTTCTTTCTCCCCCAATTTTACCATGTTTATTCCCAAAACGTGAAGCTGTTTTTTCTAACATGTTAAACTTGATGGTGTGGTCTGAGGATGTCATGAAGCTGTATGCCATACCATAGAGGCACTTTTTTGTACAGCCATGACATCTGCCTGCAGCACTGAGCACATTTAACTAGTGCAGCTACGTTGTCATCTATGCTAGGTTCAAAAAGTGTGGTATTGATGTGGTATTGATGTATTGATGTCCCATCACCCAGCATAGTTAAAAGTGCATTAATGTTTATATGTGGGAAGTGTCTTGCTGTAATTTGCATGAAATAAATCAATAAATGAATGACAGTTTTTAAAACCAGCGGTAAATATGCTTTTACCACAGTAACTTGGTTAACATTTACTGGGCACAAGTCTGTTAATGGTCATGACTGATTATCAGTTATCATCTATTTCTTATATGGATTTTAATCTTGTATTGAAACTGGTGTAAATGAGAATCCGATTTGGCTGTACAAATATGGGGCTTTATTGGGCTGCCACTATATTTTTACAAATGCTGCAGTTAGCTTATATAGCTCACAAACCTCTACAGACTTCTGTGACGTTGATATTATTGTCACCATTGGTTCTATTTGTCATTTGTCTTGGGATTTAGATTATTTTATTTATTTCTGCATTGATACTGTTAGTCATTGTCAAATCATTTTGTAGTACTTCCTGAAATACTTCTCTCTGGCATGTGGCTACAAATGTGCCACACTTGCCCATGCTTCATAGGAAAGATGGAAATAGCCACCGCTTCATCTTTTCCCCTTGAGTAACAATGTCTCGCAGTGTGTTTTGGTTGCCCGTAGCTATAGAAGACACATGGCACAACTGGGATTTGAACCTAGAGGACCAAATATGAGTAGGGAAAGTAATTTGATTGACAAATTCATCCTGATCTACAGCTGCTCCTGGCATAAGTGTGTGACTGTGTTTGAGTATATGTATGTGTGTGTGTGCGAGCACAAGTGTAACACTGAGGGTAGCTAGAAGGGCTTGTTGTTGAGCCTTGAAGCAATGCCCGCAAATCCATTTCAATCTCTGTAGGCTTTTTGCAGTCACTGCCCTTGTGTTTGTGCGTGTATGTCCTGCCCTGGTGGGAGCTAACCGCTGTCTTGCTGAGAAGCTCTCTGTGGCATTACAATGGCGGAAATCCTTTACAGATTTTCGCACTTCTCACAAAGCAGAATGAGAAAACGAGCGCTTGTGTTCGATCAATAGTAATTCTCTGTACTTTCCAAGTTGCAGTCTGTGGGTGAAAGGGGTGTATACATGTGTGTGGTGTTAGTTTACATGTGATGTCAGACATTGCTTTGATAGATTGTAGTGCTGGCTGTCACTGAAGATATGCATTGTGTGCATGAGCCATTTCAGTGACTGTTCACTGATCATTGCTTTGTGGTCATGAAGTGAGCTACTTCAGTTCAGTAGTGCCTGCTTTTACAGTGAAGGCAGCCAATTTTTTGTGATTAAATCCTTCATGGTTTGGCGTATGCAGTTAAGCGGGAAATGACTAGGCGTACATCACAGTGGAAGTTAACTTCATTGAAAAATCTGAAAGTGAATGTTTTAAATTTAAAACGGTATCGACAGTGTGCCCTTCAGTTTCTCCCCAGGTTCACGCCCCTGCTCATTTATTTTTATTTATTTATTTATTTTAAATAGAGGACTGGCATGACGGGCATTAACGGGATCCTTTGTTTATCTGAGCCAAACCAACCTGTTTACTATGAAAAATTGCTTAGTAGAAACGGCACATTTTTAACACAAAATATCGAAAATTGAAGCAAATCTTGACTTCAGAATTCAAGATATATCACATCACAATACAAAAAACAAAATTCTCAAAATACACACAGGTTAGATGAGTTGGAATAGACACATGCTATTAAAACCATGATTTTCTTTTTCACTATTTCATAATCTACGCTGCCCTACACTCAGTTGAACAGGGCCACTTATGGTCTCTAGGCTGTGCATAATTGGAATTGATCTCCTGACAATAGGCTGAAACCTTTGGCCACTTTGATACTCGAGAGCCTCTTCTAAAATATTTTTAATGAAATCTGATGTTAGTCAGTGTAGAGATACTGACCATAGTCCTAATATCCTCATAAAGTCTTATTGTAACGTAAACTATCAAGATACCAGCATAATATCCCCATATTGCCCATTCCTAGGCTAACACACTTTTTGCTCATGCTTAATTGAAGATGAATTAAGATGTGTGCGCAAGTGCGTGTGTATGAGTTTTTGAGCATTGTTCTGCATGTAGCTTGGCTCTGCAATGAGGGCTGGGTTATTTTAATATGGTGCATTAGCATACCGAGCACACACTGGCCAGACTGTCATCTGAGGACAGGGATGCGGCCAACTGGTCCTTCTCCCAGAGGTTTTGTTTATCACCCTGGTCAGGCCACTGAGCTATGTTTCTGTGTCTTTGTGTTTTTCTTCTTCAGGCTCTATGAGAATAAGGGGGAGGCAGATTTCATGGAATCACTGAGGAATCTCTTCACCTCCTTCAGCACCATGATGAACAGCGACGCAGAGACCACCAGCATGGTCAAGGTACCACAAAAAAAACCAAAAACTTTGGGGTGATGCTGATGACTCAAATGAAAGCATTTGTTTTCTTTCAGTGGCACACATGTTTATGCAGGTTAATTTGTAGTTGGTGTCAGTGCTCCGGTTAAAAAAATATAGGCTAAATTACATGCAAATTGATTGTTGTCTACCAATATTATAACAGTTGTGTCAATAAAAGAGCAATATTAATGAAAGTAATGAAAAGAACATAATGACCATGTTCTTAAATCCACACAAATCAAGGGTTGCGTCACCTTTGCAAGCAATTCACAGTGAGCACTCAGTGGGTAATGCAGGTTATGACATTTAAAGGCTCATTTAGGTATAATCATAAATGCATTAAAATGTAGAGGCTTTTTGTTGTCTCCCAACCTTACCTCCAAAGAGAGAAAGCCTCGAAGCTTAGCATACAAAAGATGGAACACTCAGTGCCAGGCATCTAGACAAATTTGCAGTCAAATCTATTCAGATATAACCCTCTGCTTTTATATTGTATATTATATAAAAAGTGTAAATGCACCCTGAAAGTGTGGATTGTTGCATTGTCTTAAGTAGTGTGAACTAGTGTGCATCTATGTATGTGTAAGAGAGAGAGAGCTTCTGTCTATCTTGCTGTTTAGATGTATTGGTGACTCACCGAAATGAAAATCCCCAACTGAAACCAAAGCTGAAATTCAAAACACATGTGGCCAAAAACCGAGAGTTAATGTTTTCTATTTATGCTTTTGATTAAATGTACTAAACAAAAACTAGTTGGTAAAAAAAAAAAATACTATGTATTATTGGTAACATCTGCAATGTGTAGCTCTGTGCTGACAATGCATAAAAACAGTTTACATAAAATAAACTAACCAGAAATTATTACTGTATGTAGGCTGCAGTGTGTGCCATGAAATTCAACTCAAACTTAGAGCATGATTGGTCATCCAAGGCAATGAATTCTGTTATTATTTAGTTATAATTTGCAGTTCGGCTGTTGTTGGTAATTTATTTCTCATCATTTCAGAAACTGAGACTATAGCTGGTTCTAGTGGGGACTTCCTGCTTTTTGTTGTTTTGTTGGAAGGTCATAATTTCAAGTGTCAACCTGTAGTGAAGTAGCTCTTTAATGTTGTACCTCCACTTGATACTCAGGATGAATAGAGGTGACAAATTGCTTGTCTATAGATATACTTCCTCATGGTTGACTTTTTCTGCTGTTTATCTGCCATTGCTCAAACTGTGTGAATGTGTCTGCACTGAGCAGCAGCGAAGGAGACAGAGTTTTTAATCACTCTTTCTCATTTACATTATTATTCAGATGATTTGTAAGTGTTTAACTTTGACACTTCATTGTAGTCCTATTTAATTTTTTTTCTTGTCTTTTTTGGCCACAATTTTTGGCCTTTTTATTTGCCAAAAACCAAATAAGCCAACTCTTGACTATTGTTGGCTGAAATGTTTCGTTGGCTAAAATTTCGGTGCATCCCTAGTATATGTTTTCTGTTTTTCCTCTGCGCAGAGTCATGTACGTTTGTTTTTTGTAATGCCGTCTATTACTCTCTTCTTTGATCTGATCATGTGTTTGTGTGTTCTTTTCTTCTGCTTCATCTGTCCTCTTTTCATCCCCTCTCCTCTGGGCTCATCCTCTTTAGCTCCTCCTCAAGGTATTCTGACTTTTCTCTCTTTTTCTCCATCCTGTCCTTGCTTCCGTCACTCGCTTTGTTGTTTGTTGCTGCTAATTTCCTTGACTTCTAACACCATTTTACTAACCTTGATTCACATTGTTTCTACAACACACGGCCTCTTCCTAGTCAGTCCTAGAGCTGCATTTGTAATTTGTTTAGATTATTAGGAATTCTTTGGTAGATTATAGATTGATCTTGAGAAAATATCTTGGGAGGATGGAGCCCCCCCTCTTGGATCCTGTGGTCTGAATGCAATTATAAAAATACCATTAAAGGTAGAGCATCAGTCTTTTCTCTCTCTTGTGTGCTTTTATAGTTGTATTCCACAGTTTCTGACATTGTTTGGCTCGTTTTCAAGCTGTCACCACTTTCTTGCCTCATGTGAAAGCAACCTAAGGAGCTTTTCCTGTGGGACTTGCTCTAATTGTGCCTGCGTTTTTCTAACCAGTCAAACTCGGCTTCTGAACGACGTGGTATGCGTGGGCAGTAAACTTACTCAAAATCTTGATTACAAAGCACTAAAGCAGAGCAGCACCTTATCATTCTTCAAACATGCCAACCAGAGCTGAGTGTCAGAGACTTGGCCTCAGATCTAGTTTGCTCCTTTAATTTTCAAAGGTAAACACTTGAGCTGGTAAGGCCTTATTTCAAAGCTGGCACTCCAGTCAAATCAAGTCTATATCTGAGAAGCTTGAGAGAAACCCCAACAAATTGAAAGCTCCAGAAAGCTCTCATCCTGCTGCCGTAGCTGCTCTGTGTAGCCTTACACTCAAAGGGCCTGTGTTAATGATCTCTAAGCAAATTTGCTGACTGAGCCAGTGATGAGTGTCAAAGCCTGTGATTTATTCTCACCCATTCACAACATGCCACACATTTACCACGTTTTGCAAAGAGACAGGAAAAATTGTTAATACAGAAACATAGCAGCTGCCTTTTGGTGACTACCAAAATGACTGTCTACCTAAATGAAATGACCCATTTGAGGGAATGGTAACAGTCCACCAGTCACTCTTTAAACACCAGCCACTTACCAAAATCCCCTCTGTTCAGCAGTGTCAGCTCCGCTTCAACTTCATTACAGCAGCTGAGAGGAATAACAGTGAAACACACAGAGAACCAGCAGGTCAGCAGTCTGAAACCTTGCAGCTGGAGTGGTAATGAGGTTTGTTTGTGTGTACAGGACCAGTGGTGTTGTTGCATAGTGCCCTTGGCAAAGTTTTCTGTTGGGTATAATAAAGAGAATTTTTTGTGTAGTATACTATACACTAATTAGCGGAATGTCCAGATCTGAAGTCAGTATTAAATGGTGATTTTAAAAAGTAGCAAAAAGTGTCACCATATGTACTTATTAAAATTATTTTAATAATAAATGATAATAAAAGTGATTTTATTATAGCATTTTAATGCATTTGGCAGCCTAGAATATCTTACCCAATATGGGTTGGTTTTACTAAATTTAATGTATTCTGTGTGCACTCTGATAAATATCGGAATGGACTTGGAATTGGCAGATACTCAAAATAACAAGACAAGCATTGGGAGGCAGGAATGCTGCATTAGGACATCCCTACTAATTAGTATCCATAATTTTAACTGTCATAAGTTCTACACTGATTTCTGGTCCCAGCGCAGTTTCACTGTGGAACCGATTGAAGAAAGTTGGATTGGTTTCCTCAGTATATGTCTATGGTTAGTTGATTTGTTTGAAGAAAATGACTGCCTCATTTGGGGAAGAAAAAGTTCAGTGTCTGTCCAGACCATGTAATTGCCTGGAAATCAATGCTATATCCTTTGGTAGAAATAGATAATTTGCAGTCATCAAGGACCGGGAAGTGCACATTTTCAACCCTCTATTTGTGTAGTAGACCAGTATGATGATGCAGTCACCAGTCAGCAATGAGGAAAATCAGGATCTAGGCCCCAGCGAGTTGTATATGTGGAGAAGTGGTTGCTGCTCTTACATTAGTGCTCTGGCTGTGATATGGTCTCATTTGTGGATCCCATCACGTCCGTTTGGCCTGTAATATTATGTGACCCTCCTCTCTCCCTGTAGATTCTGCATCTCTTTATTATACTGGGCTATGTAATCAGTCAGCCTCCTGCAATGGGTATTTTATTGCAGTCTAGATGTGCAGCTGTGACAGGTTTTATGGGCATAGAAAAGCCATTCATTTAGATGGTACTGTTTACACTGACGCCATCCTCAAGCCTCTGAGTGTAGGATATTATTCATTAGACAAAAAACATGACTAAGCATTACAGGATGGTAATGATGGATAGGTTAACGCTGTTTAAAAAAGTGGGGAAATTCTGTTGAAAGTGTAGAATCTGAACTTTGCATACGTTACATTTTTGCTGTATTGTCTCCTTTCTTAAAAAAAATGTAAACAAACATTGGTTGGTTGGGAGTGCAGACTTGAAAATACCAAAGACTTCTGAAAGTCAGAAGTGCAGATTTACAAGATAAAATAAATGAGTTATTACATATAACATATATACTTACATGTAATAAAATGTGGTGTAACATATGATTACATATATATAATGTAAATTGATTTTATAGTAAAGTTTTGTAATCACTCTAGACTTGTGTAGGTGACTCTGAGGCTGTAGTTTAATGTTGGTGATACAAGATAAAGAGCAGCTGTGATGGGGCTTGAGATGCTGTAATTTATAGTGTAATGAGGTCCAGGGTGGGTGTCAACAGGTGTGGAATATGTAGGGTATAAGTTTAATAGTTAAGGGTTGTGTGTAATGTAGAGTAGAGATGTAATTAATAGGGTGTAGATAATGTACATTAGGATGTGCGACACTGCGTTTAGTGCAGAGGACATAGTTAATGGGTTGTAGATAATGTAGTGCAGAGGGTGTAGCTAATAGAGTGTAAGAGATGTAGGATACAGGTGTGTTTTTGGGGTTATACAGTGTAGTGAATCTAGTTAATTGGGTGTATACACCCCAAATTGCCACCATATGTTACACATCAGTATTGTGGAAGTGTAGAAGTCTAGGGTAAATGAAGCACCAGTGACCATGAGTCCGTTTCACACAGTTTTACAGGAAAAAGAAAAAAAAACTGATCTGTTTCTAATGATGAAATCACAATAAACAGAAGTTTTTATTGCTGTTTGTGTCAGATAAAAGGCCCATCTTTATACGAGTAGCCTTCACACTGATAGCTATATAGCTGATAACTATAAGCAATAACCAACAAGATAATCACATTTTAATGAATTACTATATTAAATATAGATTAGAACATCCTAGAAAATGGTAGTGTGTGATTTGACTGGATCTCTATGGACCTCACTCATGTGCACAAGTGGAAAAAAATAGACTTGATGCATAAACCACATGGCAACCACTAAAAGACAGACAACTAAAAACACTTAAAAAGGGCTTTTGGTGTAAATTGGCCTTGCTTTTTTTTGGTTTGGCTAAAATCTCTTCATCCAAACTGCTGTAGATGCGCGAATATCTTATGTGGGTTTGTAGTAGGGACAAAACATATGTAGAGGATTAATGGATAGATGAAAAGGAAGAGAGAAGGGCTGCTTTGTGTTAGATGGACCAGCAGTGGGACCAGAGATGTGAAGACTACGAACTATGTGCCTTCATCAGCTGCTCCACTGCCATTGATTGGCAGTGTGTGAAGGTTTATTTGCAGCTTGTGTATCTGTCTGCTCAGCACGGTTGCTCTGCAAGTTATTGACTGACTGGTTTAGGCAACAGGAAGCAGTGAATTAGGCAGCTCATCAGTGCTAGGTTTGCAGAGCGTGGAGGGGTTTGTGAATATGATGTTCTGGGCCCCTGTCTATCTTCAAAACGGGGACAATATATCATTTATTTGTTTTGCTTATACAAAGTCTAATTTCACCCTAGTCTTCCCCATTTCAGTGTCTTGATTAATGATGGATTTCTCTTTCATTCTTTTAACATTTTCCCTTTTGTTTTATTTAAGTAACACATTTCTCAGTATTATTTGTCAAGTGATATAATGCATTTCCTTTGCTCAGGTGTTTCTCTACATGTTTTATTCTAAAAGGTACTGAAACTTGTACTGAAAATAGAAAATATCTTTTTTGTCTCCAGGGTGCAGCGTTGAAATATGTTCCTACCATTGTCAATGACGTCAAACTGGTCTTTGACCCCAAGGAGCTCAGGTAAGATACTTACTAGTGCATACCCGCCATTAATTAAGTGTGCTTGTTATATTCCTAAGTGAAAAAAATACCATAAAAAGAGGAAGAAAGAAATTCTTTACTAGGGGGTAATACAAAAAGTAAACAAATAAGATTTAGAATGAATAATCTAACACATACTACCAAAAAAAAAAAGGGCACAAAGAGAAGCAGTCTATCCCTCAGGGTCAAAATATGTTTAATGTTTAATTAATAATGAATGATATGTAATAATTAATTTTAAAGTTTTTTTAATAGTGGTGTAATGATCATAGAGAGGAATTAAGTAAGAAAGTATAATGCCTCCTTTCTCAGCACTTCCTCCACTTCTAGCCCACCTGTCTCTCAGTCTGCATGAGCAGCCTCAAGGGGCTGCAAATTAAATCAAGGCTGAAGATAGGAATTACATTCTGCGAATTTGACAAATTAGGCTCTCCTCGCTCTTGTGATTTTGTGGAAAAAAAAGAAATGAAAATGCTCATTTGCTTTGGACTTATAAATGGCCCCTTGAAATAAAATCTGCTATCTTAGCTGCCTTCACTACCATTATGGAATTAACTTAAGCTCTCGGCATGCTTAACTGGTTGATTTCATATTGTTTTGGTCTCTCTCTCTCTCTCTCTCTCTCTCTCTCTCTCTCGCTCTCTCTCTCTCTCTCTCTCTCTCTCTCTCTTTCTCTCTCTCCCTCTCTCTCTCTTCTAGCTCTCTCTCTTTCTTTCTCTCTCTCTCTCTCTCTCTCTCTCTCTAGCTCTCTCTCTTTCTCTCTCTCTCTCTTTCACTCTCTCTCTCTCTCTCTCTTTCACTCTCTCTCTCTCTCTGTCCTTCTAGCTCTCTTTCTCCCTCAACTCACTCATTCACTGTCAGGTTTCACTGCTTTTGTGTTTTTTTTTTCCATATTCTTTAATTCACCCCACGCAACATATTGTCGGTTAAATGTAATGGGGTTGCCATGGAAACGCAGGGAAATGGTCACGCAGCAGCCTTGTCCACTGCACAGGTTAATGTGTTCTGTCGTGAATAGTATTCTCATACAGTTAATTAATTGGTAGAATGACTTAATCTAGTTCTGTTGTAGCCTTTGCACGTTGATGTTACTGCCCAGCTTGTACCTGTATGCAGCATAAGTTAGTGGGACAAGATGAACTGTGGAGTCATTGTAGGAAATAGTGTATTTTTTTAAGGGGTCATTTTTGCACTCACTGACAGAAATTCAGGTTTTTTTTTATATACAAACGGAGACACTTCACAAAATACACAAAATAACATTTTACCGCAATGACTATTAAGATGAATAATGTATGTTATAGAATTTAGAAAAGTATGTATGATACGTGACACTGTTAATGTTTCTGTCATGATTTGTTCCGTATTTGTGGTTTAAGAGGCAAAAATGTTGACTATTGGGGCACTTTTTGCCCCAGATTGTTTCTGACACTGTGCATTTCCACTGTGTGCGTTTATGTCTTTCTTTATTAATGGTGTTTTTTTTTTTTTTTTTTAATTCCACACACATGTAAGTGAATAAGCGGTCAGTTTTCCTTAATGGAAAGTTTGAACATTTAAATAGAAGTGGTTTTAGAGTGGTACTCGAAAGTCTTAAAGATATAAGAACTGTGTTAGTCGTCTGAGAATGTGTGTGTGGTTCTTGTGACTAAAATAAATGGTATGTAATAGGGCGATTGAAGAGCTAATGCCAGTGCTTCAAAGATGACTATTGCTGTGTTGTGTTTTACTACATTTAGTGTTGAAGCAATAGATTGTTATGGGGTGATAATAAACTGTTATTTTATGGTAAATTTTTCCCCCCATCTCTTCTGTGGGTTTCCCAGAATGCAACAGTAAGGTCTGAGGAAAATTCTAAGCATTTTTTAGACATTTTTCAAGCCCAGATGGTTTAGATGAGTTTTAAAATCATGAAAATACAGTACTTCATGGTCCTCCCAGACAGCCATAGCTGAATTTCAGAGGGCCTTCAATGGTGCTATAATGACAGAAAACATTTTTTAAAAATAGATTTATGTCAAAACAAAACCTATAACTTTCAGAGCATTTGGCATTTTTAAATTATGGGAAAAAAAAACTAAAAAATGATTTAGAAAAATGGAGAATGGCAGCACATCCATCTGATGTCCTGGATTTTTAACCTAAATAGCAGTATACATCATGCGTAATAGATAATTAAACAGTGCATGAATCTCAGTGTCTTTTGAAGCCTCATGTGCACAGGCTCTGCAGGCTAGCCTCCATGAGATTGCGTATGTGTGTGTGTAGCTGTATTTGTGTGCACTCTTGCTGGCAGAGCCTGCTTGCTCTCTGGGCTGCTGGGCTGGAGCAGGCCATTTGAAGGCCAGGCCTGGCTTTGGGAAACCCAGCAAGCACTGGATTATTGAGCTTCTTATTTACTCTCCAAGGTGAACAATCCACACGATTTCTGGCTTATATGGTCAGTTACAGCAGGATACTTTATGTACGCACATGCACACACACAAACACAAGCTGCATTTTTCTATTTGCTTTTTCTTTGTGCATGAATGATTTAGTAGTAGTAAGCTCTTTTTACTGAAACCATCGTTACACTAGCTCAAAGCCCTACCAGCTGCGCTCTTCTGCAGCTCTTTTTTGTTTATTTTTTTCTTGTTACTCCTTTTCATCTCTCTCTCTCTCTCTCTCTCTCTCTCACTCACTGCTAGAGCATGCTGTGGGGTTAAGTAGCTTTACACCCATGAATCCTGCTGTGCGAATCTGTCCCAGCTGCCAGATTGTGCTCTTGGGGCTCTGCCATGGCCAGCAGTGCGCGGTATGGAGCTATCGCTCTCTTGTTCGCCTCTGCCAGATACTGCGCCAAGGTAGCTGCCTCAGTCACAACGGGGCTATCTCAGACAAGCACTCTCCAGCCAACTCCACCACTGCTTCGATTCTGTGTGCGTCTTTGTTTTTGTACATTTTCAAGACAAAAATGATAAAACTCACTTTCTCAAAATCTCTGCAATATCTTTACGGTTTCTTTTTTTTCCAAATCCTAACTTAAAACTTTATGCTACCTAAAAATGCTTCCTTACCACTTAACCTCATATCTCCAAAATGATAACTTTAGGAGAAGGGCAAAAGCCTACCATGTTGATCCACCTTGTAGATGTAAAGTTAGATATAATAGCTAATTTTTTTGTTTGTTTTAGTCATCTTCTAGTCCTTCATCACTGGTCACAGGATGCTGCCCGCAGGGTGCTGCTGGCTAGATATTTTTGGTTGGTTGACTATTCTCAGTCCAGCAGTGACTCTGAAGTGTATACTTTTTTATCTTAACAATGTTTATTTTATTAAAATAAAAGATTAAACATTCCTTTTTTTACTACCAAAATAGTCATTACTGGAATGTTTAAGTAGTGACTTTTTTGAGCATAACTTAGAAACGCTAGTTGGTACATGACTAGCAAACACAGCTTTAAATACATGCATAAAATCTTAATATTTTCCATTAAACTCAGAAAAGTTAAACTTAAAAACCTAATTTCAGAAAATGTGTGTTTTAGTAGTGACAATTCTTAAGGTTCCACACTGATTTTCAGACTTACATTTTCAGGAATGCATTTACTCTAAAACAATGAGATCTGTCTACTCACCGTGTGACAATGAGGGATATATATGATGGATATATATGATGGATGGATGGATGTAATATCATGATACTTAAAGTTACAGTATTTATTTTTTCTGACATCTGATAAACTGGAAAAGATGAAATAGTGCCATATTTAAAAATTTTCAGCATTTTACATAGTGTACTGCACCAAGTCCACTTAAACAGGACTAATTATTTTCTTTTGTAATCAAACATGTCTATTTTTAAGTACAGATGACATCAATGCTATGCTTAGAAAAGTGTATTGTGATATTTTGTGACACCAGCAAGCCACTTCATTAAGTACACCTCTTTGTATGTACACTCATTGTCCATTTTATCAGCTGCTTTTGCTATAAAGGTGCACTTTGTAGTTCTACAATAACTGAGTGTAGTCCATCTGTTTCTCTGCATACTTTGTTAGCCCCTTCTTAACCCATTCTTCAATGGTCAGGACCCCAAAAGGACCACCACAGAGCAGGTGTTATTTGGGTGATGGATCGTTTTCAGCATGCACTGACACTGACGTGGTGGTATTAGTGTGTGCTGGTACGAGTGGATCAGACGCAGCAGTGCTGCTGGAGTTTTTAAAGAGAACAGTCCACCAACCAGGTGTGTCTAATAGAATGGTCACTGAGTGGACACAGTGTTTAAAAACGTCCAGTGGCAATGCTGTGTCTGATCCACTTGTACCAGCACAGCACACACTAACACACCACCACCATGGGGTTCCTGACCATTGATGAACAGGGTAAAGGGGGACTAACAAATTATGCACAGAAACAAATGGGCTACAGTCGGTAATTGTAGCCCTCCAAAGTGCACCTATATGGTAAATGGGCTTGATAAAATGTGAGCGTAGATACAAGGTCGGTTTAATTCTTACTCATGTTCTCAATGAATTGGCTGTCCAGTGTGCATATATATGTATATATGACCTAATAAAATCATGTTACATTGATTTATAGTACATATAGGACGTATGTATGACCTCATGTCCTTATATTGTATAAAACCAAAGGAATTGTGTGTGTGTGTGTGTGTGTGTGTGAGAGAGAGAGAGAGAAAGAAAGAGAGAGAGAAAGAAAGAGAGAGGAAGAAAGAGACCAGGAGTTTGTTCTGTTCTGCTAACAGCATACATCTAGGTGTGTATGTTATTTGGCCATTGGAGGGAGTCTGTTCTGGGCCATTTATTGAGTTCGGGTATTGAGCGATATCAAGCACTGAATCAAGAGACACACTTTGGTTCAAATATGTATGTACTTGCTAGTTGTTGGCTTTTACACTCAGTGAGGTGAGGATTGCTTGTATAATAACCATAGTAATGTTTAAAAAATCTCTCTCTGTCACTCTCTCTCTCTGTCTCTGCAGTAAACTGTTCACTGAGTTCATTCTGAAGGTGCCACCGGGCCGCTTGGTCAAGCAGAAGCTCTACTGCATGATCGACATCGTCCACAGCGATCTCTTCACCCAGCATGGTATGTGCACACACACTCTGAGTCTCTAAAGGTCACTGTCCAACTTTGACATTGCTGACCATGGCTCCACAAAGGGTTTGTTTGAAAGAGAAAACCTTGCATACTTGCTAGGCCACATAGCTCAATACAAATAACGCACACACTCTCTTTCTGTCTTTGGTACTTTAGTCCATTATAAAGAGCCTGATAAAAAACATTGTATATATGGTGTGATTTGAGCTGGAGGACTGTTAATTTATCATTAGACTAATATTAGAAAGGATATATTCAGTGTGTTCCTAGAAAAGTCTTTTACTTTCAGGGCAAAACCGTAAAACCTCAGTGACTGTGGACACAATATAAGCCTGCTTTTTTGACGTTAGCATTCTTGCAAGATACAGAGTAGACCTAAGCCTTAATTTGCATGACCAGCTGTTAACAGTATTTCACGATCTAGAACCTGTTGACTTTTGTTGCAAGTGATTAATGAGGGTAAACCTCAAAGTAAAATATGATGGGGTACAGGTAGGGTTTTAAATTTGTCTCAGAACTCGAGAAAGGTATCTTAGCACTGTAGTAACTGTTTTAAGTATGCCATTAAACACAGATCTAAATGGTCTAAGCAACAAAAAATGGTGCCACTTGAAAACCTTAAAATGTTTTTGTCAGATGTTGACCAGAAGGTGCACCACACACACTTCCATGCCCAAACTATATTAGTATCACTGCCATGCTGAGAACGATCCACCATCCAAATAATATCTGTTCAGCGTTGATCCTGTGATAGTGCCTTTCTATTGATGGACGAGTGGGTTGATAATTTGCGCAGCAACAGGTGGGCTTCTGTCAGTAACTGAAAACTTATGTTCTGCTAAGTATTTCTGATAACATGAGTGTAGGTAATAGGTAGGTGAACCTAATAAACACAAAATATCCCAAATACATCTGATGGTGTTCATCAAAAAAAAGTCAGCAAACTTTTGCAACCTTGTAAAGACCATCGGTTTCCTCTTAAAAATCAGTTATAATCAATTTAAGAGCAAAAACTCTAAAGTTCACATTTTGTAGTATGTTGATCTGTCGATAGAGACTACATGCACATCTAAATCCTTGCAAAATAATTGTTTACAATAATGTTTTCCTCAAGAGCAAATGTACCCAGTCCCTAGTCGTGGAGGTCCACCACTGTGCAAACTGTAGATCCAGCCCTAATCTATCAAACTCAGTCCAGGTAACGAAGACCTTTGGGAGCCAGGTGTGTTGGATCTGAATTTTCCAGAGTGGTAGATCTCCAGTATCTGGATTGAGCACCCCATCTCAAGACGGATGTTGCATCCTTCTGTATGAATAAAGGACCAAAGAGCTACACTACATCTTGAATTTTCTGTACTTTTGACTCTTAAAAGCTTATAATTATTTCTTTTTGGAGAAAGCAATGGTTTTTTACAACATCAACTGTTTGCTGAGTTCATTTTAATGCTGAAAGCCATTAAATATATTTGGGCTGTTTTACAGTCTATCATGATGAAATCGAGAGTTTGGCTGTAAGTTCTTTGCCTCTGTGGCTTGAGGACATTTCTTTCTGCCTCTAGTGGTCTGTTTGTTAAGTGCGTGGGCTGCACTGTTCAGCATCTGAAGCATACTCTGGTAATGAGAGAGGGATGAGTAGTGAATTCAGGCCACAGGGCCTGCCTCTAGCTCTGCACAGAGTGGTTGTGGATAGGGATTGCAGAGTGTATGAGTGTGAATGGGTGTGGTCCATTACACTGTTTAACCAATTAAAGGACAGAAGATCTTTACCAGGACTCCGCCCTCTTATACAAATGTGTTCAAACATACACGCCTACATATGCTAGAACAAGTTGTCTCTCCTGATGGTCCTTTTCCTATCCTAGTTCTTAAACCCAGCTGCTGCTTCACTCGAGGCTTGCACATTACCCAATCCCACAGGCCTCTCTACTCTTGTCTGCAGTAATCATCAGAGTAAAGATGCCACTAGCACTACTGTAATGTGCTGTTTTAAATGTCAGCTCAGCTTAAGAGCTAGGTGGAGGGAGGCGTAGGCTGTACCTGCATGTTTTTGTGTGTGTGTGTGAGCGTGCATGTGTGTGTGTGTGTGTGTGCGGATTTCCCAAGGTGAAATGTAGCGTAACAGTAGGAACATATGGTTGCTCTGCAGGTTTAAATAGATGAACATCATTCAGCTGTAATTATCTATAGCTGTGTCTCCAGTCCTGTCTTAATTAAAGCACAGCACTTTGTCTCTTGTTCACTCTTTCTCTCTCACTCTCCCTCCCACTCACTCCCTCTCCTGCGCACACACTTGCACTGTCTGTAGTTCTTCTAAGACTTAAGGGTTCAGAAGATGAAAGTGATGAAGCGCTTTTAGAGCATAATGCTTTCTTAAAGTAGGGCTGTTGCAGTGGCCAATTGTCAGTGGTCAACACCGACATAAGTAGGGAAAAGGGAGCTTTAAGCAAACGAGAATGAAATCTTTTGGACAGTGGCCAGTCAGTTTATTAAAATGAGGTGCGGTATGTGTTTTTCTGTGTACAACACCCATATTTTTAAATGGGATCAGAAGATGATTACAGTGGTTTAAAAAATGTATTAAAAATCCACAAAACATTAATCAGGAAACATTTACTTTGAAATCTAAAAAGCATTATTAGACGTGTCACCCATGTTTCATCGGAGTTTGAGACAGGGTTCTACAGTGCGAGCACATATTTGCATTTACTCTTTCTTTTTCTCCTTATGTATTAAATATAACCAGAATTTTGGTGTAGGAGCGCCTGTGTGGTAACAGATTTTGATCCGGTTAGCCTATCACTTCATTATGCGTGATAACAAACTTACACATTTCCTTTAATGAAGCGTGCCACTGGCACTGAATGGCTCTATATTTACAGGGCCTGATGAGAAAATTACCCTATTGGCTCATTACTCATGTCACAGGAAGCCTAACTAGCCTTCTAAATAACTGACCTGCATAGCTGTCAAATCTTACGCTAGCTTAAGTACTGTTGCTTTACTGTAAGGGGAAAAATGGGAAAATATGTTTTGTATAGTTTGTAGGTATGCTGTAAAGATTGTGGCATCAGGACTATTTGAAATGAAAGTGCAGTGGACAGCAGCCTGCATACTTGACCAGCTAGTGCTTACCACTCTGTCTTTGTTTTTTAAAATTTCATAATTAGCTAAGTTAGCAATATTATTTATTGTTTTGTTTTCAGCAAGTCTTAGTCTAGATTCTTATTTAAACAAATGTGCATTATATTATAAAACACTAATTTAATAAATATGAACCTTTCTAGGTTGCGGTAAGACATAAACTGGCTTGCCGGACAAATTTTTAGTGCTGTGGGTATAAAGTTATATTTTGTGTTAATTACATAAAAGACAGAAAAATGGAAGAAACGAAAGGAGGAACTGCAAGAAAAGAACATCATAAACTGAATGGTTGCAAATGGTAGTTCCTGCTGTTGCTCAGGTAATACTTAAGGACTCGGACAATATAGGAGAAATTTGATTGCTGAATTAGACATCCTCTCTGATTCATAAGAGGAACAAAGAAAAAAGAACAAAAAAAAAATCATAGTAAGTTTGAGCTCGTAGTTTTTTTTCCTGTGTGCACCAGTGCTCATTGGCAAAGACCTTACCATAGAACCCTGGCTTTGAACAAGTCTACAGTTCTGCATACACTTTACTCTGGACAGCTAAAAATGCCTGCATTCTACCAACATGCACCCAAAGCAGCCATCATGAGGAAGACAGTTCACTTTGCTGTAATGAAAAAGCAGGTCACTTTATATAACTGTGAAGCACAAATAAAAAAAAATATAATAATTGTAGTATGACATGCTCACCACTGTGTTTAGGAAGCTACTATGTTGGTGATGATCACTGCAGCCCTTTCTAAAAGTGGTAAAAAAAAAAAAGAAAAAGAAAAAAAAGGCAGTTTTGTTTTCAGTATTTCAGTGTGAGCCACACAGCTCACAAGAACAAACGTGGTGAATTCCAGATACATTTTTAAAAAAGTGCTGAAGGTGTTCTGTATTCCGAGTATGGCTTGATACGTTTAATCTCTAACATCCTCTTTGCGAAAGGGATTTGTAGTGTGATACCGCCCAGCAGTTCAAGATTGAGTTTTTTTTTATTTAATTTTTTTCTAAGCATGCTCTCTCTGCTGTGAAATGCGATGTTATGGGGGGAAGGCGGTGTCTGGAAACTATTCTGGGAGCTGAATTTTGTACTCCATGTTTGTGTGAAAGCCTTCTCCTCTACTTTACAGTGAGAGATGATTTGTATGAAACACTTTCTTAGTCTTATTCTATAACTTCTGTTTTTCTTCTTCTGACTTGTACCTTTGCTGCTTTGTCACATTTAAATGTTTCAGATCGTTCAGTTAATTTTGACAACACAGAGAAACACAAAATGCAGCTTTTAAATAATCATTTTATTTATTGAAGATAAAGATTTATTTAAAACCCCTTTCACTCATGCAAAATATTGCCCCATCATACCTTGTAACTGGTTGTGCCATCCTTGGCAGTAACAGCTACAATCAAACATTTGTGATAACTTGCAGTGAGTCTTTTACATCGCTGTGGAGGAATTCTGGTCCACTCTTCTTTGCAGAATTGTTTTAATTTGGCTACATTGGAGGGTTTTTTGAGCATGAACTGCCTGTTTAAGGTCTGGCCACAGCATCGCAATGGGATTCAAGACAGGACTTTGATTTGGCCACTCCAAAATCTTCCGTAATCCATAATTTTGTTTCTTTTGAGCTGTTCAGAGGTGGACTTGCTTGTGTGCTTCGGATCCTTGTCCTGTTGCATAACTCAACTGCGCTCGAGCTTTAGGTCACAAACTGACAGGCAGACATTCTCCTTCAGGATTTTCTAGAGAGCAGAATTCATGGTCCCATCAAATATAACAAGTTGTCCAGGTCATGCAGTGGCAAGGAAGCACTTACTCTCACTGTGGTTTGCTGGTTTCCCAGAACTGTAGCAATGGCT